ACCTCAAAAAAGATTACAAACGCGGAAATCGCTTACATTTAAATGAGACTTGACTTGAGCTGCAACTCCTCCCCTCAATATAGCAGAAAGCAGGGTTTTCAATAGACAAATTGGAAGAAAGGAAATTTGCTTTTAGTTGGTCAGTGGAGGATAATTTGAAATTGTTTTTACAACCTGTAGTAACCTAGATGACTGTCAGTACATAAGAAGGGTGCAAAAGTTCATGTGGAAAGGCTTTCTGGTCTGATGCGCTGTGCCTTTAAACAAAGCAAGCTTGCTAGTTTTTCTAGACACCTGGAAACTTGTTTAGCCTGCTGAGTTGTGCAAGAAACCAGGTACATATAAATATCAGAGTGGCCTGACATCTCAGCCACCCAAAGCAAGGGACACTCTGCAACTTCATATTTCGAGCCTCTCACTTCCTTCTGTGCTCCCCTTCCCCCAACCTTTAATGCTGCCCCTTTTTCCAGGCACCAGTGTGACCTGTACAATATAATCTCCCACAGAGTCATCTTCAGTGGGTTCTTAAAATGCATCTGAAGTACATGTCTGCCAATAATTGGCACGGGTACTACTTATTTCTTGGAATACTGGCATCTAGTGGAATCCTTCATGATCCCACCCATATGGATTTCTAATGTTAAAACTAAGACACCATGATGGGATGTGGAGAATGGAAGCTCAGATATTTGGCTAGTGGGAGGTGCCTCCCCCAAATCTCAAATCACTGAGAGCGCTTCCCATCTCCAATTTCAAACTGGTTAATGTTACAACACTTCTTGGAAGTTCCTTCTGAAAGAGGCCAAAAATCTACTGATTTATTATTATATAAGAAGATTCATCTGCGTTAGCCTACATGGTTAACTTCCCAATGTATTCCTGTTTGTAACTAGATTTTCTAATGTCAACCAAATTTTAACAATAAAGCAATTCTTAGGACTTCATGGCAAGACTTGTTGGTTCAGATGGCTCAGGCGAAATTTGTGCAGCTGACCCTTCCTTTTTAGAATTGGTTTGTTTTAAGTGTAAAATGTGCATTTTCCATCCACTTACATTATAAAATTAGAGATGAGGAAGTCATAGGAAGTCGCTGATGTCTTCCTCAGGCTATTAAACTCCTCTTAGTTTTACTTCCTCTCTTCCAACATACAGCCCACGATGGAACCTTTACCCATTTTATACCAGTATCCTCAAAATCCTCTATCATTTTTCTTTCTACTTTGTTTGCTCTGATGACCCCTAGACTTGGACTAATTTACCAGTCTGCCTTTATCTCCTCTTACACCCAGGCTGACAGACCCTGGTGGAGTAAATCACGCCGGTATTTTGACTAAAATTTTGAGATCTCCAGAAATCCTTTTATGTGTAGTTGGCCAGTACTCTCTCCCATTATCCATAGTGTCTATTCCAAATATTCTCCATTCTTCTCAAACCCCTACCCTATCACATTAACAAACAACCTTTCCTCCAACATGAGCTACAAATTCTTTCAACTTCTCTGTGCATAAACTCATCTATATACATTACCACCTTTTTTCTTCCTATCTCAAAGAAAAATGTCTCTCCTTCCCCCATTAATCTTTTGATTTAAGCTCCATTCCATTTCCATTTTTTCGTCCTCCCGTTTAATACATATTTATCAAATATTAATTATGTGCAACTATGCTAGAAGCTTGTGGCATTGTAGTAAGCAGGAAATTCTGGATGCAGAAGCCAAGAAATAAAATCAATAAATTAATGCCATGGCCTCCAGAGCTGTGAAAGAATATGTTTCTGTTGTTTTAAGCCATAAAGTTGGTTACAGCAGCCAGAGGAAATGAATATAATTTTGGTTTCAAAGAGTAGGTTGCTGCTGTAACAAATATCTAAAAATGTGGAAGGATTATTCAAGTAATAGCCAAAGAATTGAATAATAGATCAAAGCTGGGAGAATTTTGAGAAGCATGACAGGCAAAGCCTACATTGCCTTGAAGAAATTGTTGGTAGAAACACACATGTTAAAGATGTTACAGGTGGGGGTGCCTGGGTGGCTCAGTCGTTAAGTGTCTGCCTTCGGCTCAGGTCATGATCCCAGGGTCCTGGGATCGAGCCCTGCATTGGGCTCCCTGCTCAGCGGGAAGCCTGCTTCTCCCTCTCCCTCTCCCCCTGCTTGTGTTCCCTCTCTCGCTGTGTCTCTCTCTTGTCAAATAAATAAACAAAATCTTTAAAAAAAAAGAGATGTTACAGGTGAAGGCTTAGAAGGAAGTGAGAAGTACAGAGAAGAAAGCTTCTGTCCCTTTTAAGAATACACACTGTCTTGAACAGAATTTGGTAAAAATATGAGCATTCTAAGTGCATCTTGTGAGGGTCCAGAAGGAAATGCAGAACACATTACTGGGAACTGGAGGGAAAATGATCCTCCCAAGATAGTGGCAGAAACCTTGGCTAAATTGTGTCAGATAGCTGTGTGGAAGCAGAAATTGCAAGCCATGAACTTGGTTAGTTAGCTGAAGAGAAGTCCAAGCCAAGTATTGAAGGGTGGCCTGGTATTTCTTTTCTGTTCAGAGTAAAATGTGAGAAGAAAGAGATAAATTGAGGAAGAAACTGATAAGCAGATTTTTTTTCCCAGTAATTTGTTACAGCAGCTATAGGAAACTAATACAGCCTTTAGTGAAGTCAGGGATATCTTGTGTTATTTAGAAATGCCAATTCATGGATCTCTAGGGTAGAATCAGATTACTCTAGGCTGCTGCTAGTTAATGTTAACATTGGGTACCTAATCACTAGATCAGGATACCTGATGAAAATGTGTCATTTTGATTTTACATCACTTGAAGATTCAGGACATGCTCCTATCAGCCCTCAATTTATTTATTTGTTTGTTTATTTATTTATTTATTAAGTTTATCCACCAATGGTAAGTAAAATTAAATCCACTTTGTCTTAGAGCTCAAGTTCCCAAACTGGCTTATCAACAACGTGTGGGTTGTCTTTTTGTTTGTAGATTTTTACCTACGTTAGTTTGTTTGTTTTTTAAGACACAGATTCTCAGGGCCTATTCAGAACTGCCGAATTGATTTTCTGGGGTCGGTGATTGGATATGTATGTTTTCATAATGTTTTGTAGGTTAGTATCATAACCATCCACTTTAGGGAACCATTGAAATTACAGACCAAAGCTGGATTTGCCTACCTTAAGAAATTCTTAAGTATCTGCTGTTTGTCAGTTATATAGTAGGTGAGTTCTATAAAGTATTTGCATTTAGTCTTACAATAAGGTGATTCTTCATCTCTGCTTGGAGGTTCTTAATCTCTGGCAAATCGAGGTTCAAAAGAGTTACACAACTTTAATCTAAGCCAGTATTCAGGGGATCAGGTATTTGCCCACATATGTATCTGATTCAAAACCCATGCTCTTAGTACAGAATAATCAGCATAGTGCAGTGGACTGACAACTATTTGTTCACATTTCCATACATATCCTTTCTAGGTGAATCATGCTGGGTAAGTCATCTAACTTCTCCAGCTTCAGTTTGCTCTATTTAGAGACGAGGGTAAAAATATGGATCCCAAGCAGTTGTTACAATTATCTACATAATAGTACTTTATTAAGTACTATTGATAAATGGTGGATGCATCAAAATATGGTTTTACCATGGTTTTTGCTCTTATCTATTTCTTGTTTAACAGACTAAGAAAAGTATAGCTATAATGTCTGGCAGAAGTTCCTGCTCCCACAAAATGTTACATCTGCTGCCAGCTTCTTTTATTCTTGAGAACTTAAGGCTTCCTGAATGGCTATTTCTGGAGCCAGACTGGACCAGAGCTTGAGTCCCAACTCTGCCATTTACTAACAGTATAATCATGAACTAGCCTCACCATGATTTCAATTATTCCTCCATAAAAAAAGGGGAAGAGATGTTGTTGGTTTAAATTGAAATAATACAGCCTGCCTATAATATTTATTTATGATCATTGTAATTTAATTATGACATTGCTAATAGTAGCTGAGTTAGAAGGATGACAAATACTTTTTGTGAGGTTCCAGTCGGTACCCTCCTATGAAGAGTAACAGGCAGGGGATGGAAGAATGCCAGCAGCAAGGCAGTACACATTGCAGGGTGTGGGAAAAAAACCCAAGACCAATTACAACCCACCTGAATACCAACTCCCACTGTAGCTTTATCCTCCTCCCTGTGGTAGGAGGATTCGTTCTACTGTGGTTACTCTGTAGCACAGAGAGTCTCAGCAAGTAACCCCTAAATAGACAGAGAAGATGAAGAGTTTAATTATACATTTCCATATATATCCATAAATGCACTCACATGCAGGGTGGGAGAAAGGGAGAATATTTCCTTTGGCACTTGGCAGGAGGCCATTTGGAAGGGCAATCAGAAACTACTTGGTAACATTAAATAAGTAAGAGTGTTCTCTTGTGGTATATGGTCTAAGTAGGAGAGCAGTAGCTACCATTTGGTGAATTCCTATGCCAGGAACTGTGCTAGACATTTTACGTGCATTCTCACTAGACTGTAAAGCTCTGTTGAATAAGAACATTTACCTAATTTTAAAGATGAAGAAATGGAGACACAGAAAGATTAAGTATGGTATCAATGGATAAAGATCTGAGAAATATTGGGGGTGAGATTCAAAATAGTGTCTAACCACCTGCAAAGCCTACTACGTCTTGTCCCCTACAGCAAGATGCCTCCACAGGAACTTCTCATGTCTTGCATTGCTAGTCCTTTTATAGCAACTACTGTTCCTGGTTATTCTTACTCTGCTTGTTTATTTTGCTTATACCCCTCCTCAAGAAAAACACATGATAAAATCATCACTGATATATGTAGTAGACGTTGTTGGATGGCTGGATGGATAAACAGATATATAGACAAACAGATAGACACGCAGACAGATAAACAGAGCATGTCAGTGTATGTCTATCTACATAAAATTACACTCTGTGACTTTTAAAACCATCTCTTCGGCTTTAAAATGAGCCCTGCTTGTGTCCTGGCCCAGGTGTGCAGAGCAGCTAGTTCACGATAACCTCCCGACCACCAGTGTCATCATGTGCTTTGTGGATGAAGTGTGGTCCACTCTCCTGAGGTCTGTTCATAGTGTCCTTAATCGCTCTCCTCCACACCTCATCAAGGAGATTCTACTGGTAGATGACTTCAGCACCAAAGGTAAGAAAAGCACTCCTGGAAAATTAAAGTTTGATATGAGGCGATAACAATTTGGGTGGATGGCAAAAATATCAAATCATTGCTTCGTGTGGTGCTTTAGAGGCATAAAGCCAAGCATCTACGGGATATAGAAAGTGAGTTCTATCTTCAGTTAGCTGTCTCAGACTTCCCTTCAGCTGTGCCTTCTCTGCCATGTAGAAATGATTTTCTAACTATAGCTCCTTGGAGCACTTTGGAGTTCCAGAGACCAGAAGATGTTCAACCGTTTTATGAAGTCTAATAAGCAAGTACCCCACAATTAATAGGATGCCTTTCCCACTGGTAATAAGAGGTCAGAGTTAGACTCTATGGAAAACAAAGAAATGGAAGGCCAATGGTTTCTTCCTCAAGGGCAAAGTACATTATGTGTTAAGTGTTGAGAAGACAAATTGCCAATAGAACCAAAGAGATGAGGCTTCAACGGAGTGCAAAGGCAGAATCCACCATGGTCTGGAAGAAGTGAAGAATCTCCCTCTTGGGGAGATCACATAATTTGTGTATTAAGTGCTCCATTTCCATTCGAGGTCCCACTGCCATCACATTACAAATTCTCACAATGCAGCCCACTTCAGAAAATTTTAGAAAATAGCAAAGAGAGGATAGCCCTAATAGAACAGCTTAGCTCTTTTCATGACCACAACGGCATGAGCCATTTTCCTCAGCCTCAGAGCTCCTACCACAATCACCCTGAGTTCTCTTAGCAGTGAGATGCCTAAGAAAAACTGGTTGAAAACTTTGAGAAGGAGCCTTGAAAGCATAAACAGAAATAGTATCCAGTCACCAAGCAAATAATAGTCTTTTTATGAATGGCAGATCCAGGGACCTGAAGAACCCTTTGGAGAGACCTGGAGCTTATATGGTTTTCAGGGTCCTCTTTAAGAAAAAAAAAAAAACAACGCACAAAATCAGTAGGAAAGTGAGCAGCAGAAGTACTTCTGGAAGCCTTTCCTACCTGGGATACCTGTCAATAGCTTAATTACACATCGAAGTGACTGCAAGTCATGTAAATATATCCCATAAAACCCCAACAACATTCCTTTGGATGGATACTTCTTTGGCCACCCAACAAGACAAAAGAGGTATGACTCAGAGGGTGTCAGAGTAGGGAAGTGACAGTGCCCTTAACCAATTGCAGTTGTAATATCTTTCTTTCACAAATTTTCCAGTTTGCATACAATGTTTAGCCTCTTGTCTGGGTCTTGGCACGGGCCTTTGTAAGTTTGTACAGAAACTTGAGTTTCGTTTATTTCAGGGCAAATTTGCCCATCCTGACAAATACCCAGAAAAGGTGAGCCCTCCTCTATGTCACTTGGCAACACTGGAAAGAAGGATTTGGAATCAGAAACAGATAGCTTGGAGTACTGGATGCAGACAAAAAGCCATCCAAGAAAATGACATCAAAAAATAAAATCATGGTCCAAGGAATAAAATTTAGTGACTACAGTAACTATCATAGTTTCTGGAATTTGATACTGAGAAGCCACTGCTAGTATTATCCAGATCTAGTTACTTAACATGTTTCCTTGTCTATTCTTACTGTGATACAGACTACCTAAAAGGTAATTTGGATAAATACATGTCTCAGTTTCCAAAAGTTCGGATTCTTCGCCTCAAAGAGAGACATGGCTTAATAAGAGCCAGGCTGGCAGGAGCACAGAATGCAAAAGGTAAGAAGCTGCTAATTTTTTGTTGTTGTTATATTTTTGTTTTAGTTTATTTGCTTTCAAATATATAGCAAATTTGAAGTAATACCACAGTGAACACCCACATAGCCATCATCATGCCACCAATTTTTAACTCTCTGCACCATGTGCTTCATCACACACGTGCACAGACACGTGTTTATATATACCCACTTTTGTCTTCAACTTTTGGATTTGCAGATATCATGCCGCTACAACTCTGTGTACCTTAGTAGGCCTCTCTGCAAAATACAGACGTTCTCTTAGATAAGCACACTTTCCTATCTAAATATCATCTGGTTTATGCTCTTTCAGACGTCCTCATTTGCTCCTCAAATGTTTTTTATAGCTACTTCTCTCTTTTGAAATTTGAGATCTTATTAAGTTCCATGCACTGCATTTGGTTGTTTAGTCTCCTTAGTTCCTCAATCTAGAGAAGACAACATACTACTTACTGTTGACTTGTTCGGTTTTTTTTAAAGTCCAGGCCATTTGTTTTGTACATGTGACCACATTCTGAAGTTTTATCATTGTTGCCTCATGTTACACTCATGATGAATGTTATGGAAGTGAATATTGTATAGTATTGTACTACGTAGGTGGTGGGAATTACTTATTGTCTATGGCTTCAAATCAAGAGACCCATGATGTCAAGTTGTCCCCCTATGGGAGATAGTAATTTTGAGCCTTTGGTTAAAATGTCACAGCCAGGTTTTTCTTTTGGGAGTAAGAAGTAATTTGTGATGTGATACTTTGATTCATATGAATACTGTTTTCCTTACATTTTACTCAATGGTTTTGCACCCATTGGTGATCATTGCTTAAATCAGTTATTACACGGAGGGCTGTCCATCTCTCCGTCCTTCCCCCCCTCTTTTTTTCTTCCTCCCCTCCACTCTCTCCCTCCTTCGTCTTCCCCTCTTATGCTCCCATCGATACTAATTTATGCTTTAAAAAATTCAATGTGTATATTATTAAATTTCTTCCTTCCTTCCTTCTGTCCTTCCTTCCTTCATCCCTCCCTCTGTTTATTTATTGATTGATTGATTTGTTTGTTTGTTTCGTTTGTCTATTGTACTCAGTTTGTCCCAAATTTGACCACTTGGAGCCCCTCCAAGCCTATGCATTTTTTGCCTGATCCCATCAGTATTTGAGGACTTAGACTTGTTTCCTTCTCTCTTCCCTGACCTATGGGTATGTCTGCTCTTCTGATAGCTCTCTCTGTCTTCCCAAAGAGCAATAAATACGACTTCTTTTCTTCACTTTTTTTTTAGTGTGTGGGTTGGTGAGTGAATGGGAGGAGTCAAATCTTTTCTGCCCATGAGTACTCTAAAAAATGACATCAAACATATTGGTTTATTTTTGTATCCTTCTGTGGAAGGACCCGTACCCCATAATAATTGCTGAACTTATATACCAGGTTCTATTCTAAATACTTTCTACAGTAATTGATTTAATCCTCACCAGAACCCTAGGAGCTAGGTACAATAATTTTCCTCATTTTACAGATGAAGATAGGGAGGCAGGCACAGTGAGGTTATGACTTGCCCAAGTTCTCCCCGCTAGCAAGTGCTACAGCAGGATCGGAAGCCAGAAACCTTGGCTCCAAATCTGCACTTATCTGCTACACTTTGTTGTCTTTCGATATCTAGCCGCCACTCTCCCCTGTAGACCATAGCATTGCATAACTCCACCACCTTGAATTTAAGCATGTTCTTTTTTTTTTTAAGATTTTATTTATTTATTTGAGAGAGAGAGAGAGAGCAAGAGCTGGGGGAGAGGCAGATGGAGAGAGGGAGAAGCAGGTTCCCCACCGAGCAGGGAGCCCTATGTGGGGCTCGATCCCAGGACCCTGGGATCATGACCTGAGCCAAAGTCAGACACTTAAAAGACTGGGCCACCCAGGCACCCTGCATTTAAGCATGTTCTAATCGTAAATTATCTGCTCACCTAAGTTACACTTCCTTGTAACTAAACCCCAAATTTTGAACTTTTCTTATCTCATTGGTTTGCTAATTTCTTTGGCTTGTAATGGAAACTTAAAAATTAACTACAAACACATCACATGAAAATTGACATTGCAGTGATAACGAAGATTCTTAATGATAGACCGCATTTGGAAGATTAAGTAAAAATCCATGTTTGATTTCTTTTAGGAAGTAATTGCACACAAATTGTACAGAAGTAGGATAGTGAGGAAATCGGCCAAGTAGGCAAGTTTGGGGCTAAGATCTGGAGGAAGCACATTCCCAGACAAGTGGAACAAGAAGAGCAATGTCCTGGGGCGCCTGGGTGGCTCAGTCGTTAAGCGTCTGTCTTCGGCTCGGGTCATGATCCCAGGGTCCTGGGATCGAGCCCCACATCGGGCTCCCTACTCCGCGGGAAGCCTGCTTCTCCCTCTCCCACTCCCCCTGCTTGTGTTCCCTCTCTCGCTGTCTCTCTGTCAAATAAATAAATAAATAAATATCTTAAAAAAAAAAAAAAAAGGAGGGCAAGGTCCTGATGCAGAAATATGTTCTGTGTATTAAAGTTAATGAAAGTTTATTATGGCTGATGGGTATTGACCATGGAGAGAATGATAGGAGATTCATCTGGGGGGCAAGGAAAAGGCAGGCTTTTGTAAAGTTTTATGAGTCATTCAAGGAGTGTAGGCATTATTCTTGGTATCATATGAAACCAATGGAGTACATTAAAGAGGAGGATAAAATTGTTTGACTTAATTTAAAGCTCAATTTGGCTGCCTTGTAGAGAATGGGTATTAGGGAGATGAGAGAGGAAGGAGGGAGACCAATTAGGAGGTTATCATCACGGTGCCTGGGTGGCTCAGTCTGTTGAAAGTCTGACTCCTGGTTTCGGCTCAGGCTGTGATCTCATGCGTCGTGGGATTGAGCCCTGCGGCTGGCTCTGCACTCAGCGGGGAGCCTGCTTAAAGATTCTCTCTCCCTCTGCACTCCCCCCCCCACTTGCTCCCTCTCTCGCTCTCTCTTTCAAATAAATAAATAAATCTTAAAACAAAAGTGGGGAGAGGCTATTATTGTTGTCCAAACACCAGGGAGGTACTCGGGCAGACGAAGGAAGGGGTCAGAGTAAGAATATACTGTGGACATGGAGCCCACGGGCTTGTCATCAGATAAGATATGAAGAGAGTAATAGTGAGAGGAGTAAAAACAAAAAACAAAAAAAAAAAACCCTAGAATTGGCATCTGAGCAACTTGGTGGGCGGTGGGGCCATAACCAGAGGAACAGATTTGGGATTGCTGTTGAGTTCCGATTTTGTCCATGTAAATTTGAGATGAAAATGAGACATCCATGTAGAGAAAGCTGACAAGTGTAGAACCAAAAATGTACTGCTTACAAAAACCTTCTCTCTGCCTGCATGGGACACAAAGCATGCTGGCGATCATCTCCAGAACAGTCTAAACTGTTAGACAACACGGAAGGCCTCTTCAGATGGGCTGCAATGAACTCACTCAAAGAAGTTGCCTTATCGGCCTGCTCAAGCACTTGTGGTTATAGAGCCAGCAAATCGCGGTTATAGAGCCAGCAAATAATTTCTTTGAATTTAGAAAATCCAAATGTAACAAGGTAAACTTGGCTCTCAGTCAGTCATTAACACCCTTGAGTGCATGAGCTCAGTTTCCGTTTGGTAACTCTCAAAACTATTTGTACCATGACCCATGTTAAGAAATAAATCTTACACCACAACCCAGTGCATATATATGTTACACATGTCACTACAGTAGACATTTCATGAAATAACATGTGCAGCAGATTCTAGTATCTTCTATTTTATTTGTTTTTTAAGATTCTGACCGAGCCCACTATATTGTTGTAAAGACTTGCTAAGGGGTCACAGCTCTAGTTTGGAGAGGCCAGCTAGGTGCATCTTAATTGCTTGCCACTGTCTAGTGAAGAGCTGCTTCTCAAACTATCATAGAAGAACTTTTTTTTTTTCTAATTTCCAAATTTTGTGGACCGGCCCCTTTGTAAATTATACTAAAGATAAACTACCTAAGAAAGAAATGGAAAAAAAGAAAGATATGTACACAATTATATATGCATTCATCTATACTCTATGTATATAGATATATACATAAATTTATTATGTGTAATATATACATGTGTGTATGTATAACATAGATAAGACACAAATGACATAAGTAATGACTGTTAGGTTATATACATACACCTGTATAAAACAGAGAATAAATTAACAAATTCCAGCAAACTGCTAGAGTTTTAAATCATCCATTCTCAATTTCCGTTCCTATCTCTGATAGCAGGGTCTATGGCCCCCACTTTGAGCAGCATTAGCAAAAGGCCAATGCCTGAACTTGGAAGAAGCTGAAAAGTGTGTTCTGATGGAATTAGTTAACAGCCTTGTCCAAGAATACATCCAAGGGCCCTGAAGTGCACCTGGCTCCTGTAGGAAATTCAAGGGGCTTCAGAAGCCCGTAGCAGCTTTAGCTGAGGAAATAATTCAGGAACTGTCCAGGGCCTGGCCCTAAGCGGGGCTGGCCAGCCTGTTAGTTCTCCCAGACTTCCCCTGGGCATCCCCCAGCCACCCCAAGTAAAGCACAGGCAGGACACATTCGGGGCCTGAAAAGTCTCTGTAATCAGAGATCAGCAAAGATACCAGGGGCAGAGATTTCCTCTGGACTGCCTCAGCCAAACAAAGAGATGAATGACAAGAATCTGAATGCAGAATCTGACAGGCCTTGACAGCTATTGTTTCCTAAAGATTTACCCTTTAGAATTCAGGGAAAAGGGAGGGGAAGCCACAGGTAAGGATGAGATCAAAGATCCAAGGACCTGCAGAAATTGGTCAGGTTTGGTCCCAGGGTACTATTTTGATCCCAGAGTATTATTAGACTCTCTGAAAGTACATAATACAAAATAATAGGGGCAAAACAGTGACTCTCTGACCACTAACAACGTTCACTACATGTTCAGTTTCCGGTGCACGATAGGCTCTTCATCTGGATATGCTTCAGGCAAAAAGATCGGGTCCAATCAGTTATTTCCTGAGAAGGAGGAGATAGAGAGTTCAAGTAGGATTTAAAAATCCGAAGGGCAGGCCACGGTCAGTGGATCTCTAGGGAAAGTGTCCTATAGGAAGCCAACACAAGTAAAAAGAGAGTTGTAGTAAATGAGGTACAAAGTGAACAAGCTGACCACTCAGATCTCGTGTGAGTATTGAACAAAAGAGCAAGTTATTGCCCTGCCAAGAAGAGTCGGCAGATGGGCAGGTTCAATAGTACACTCTAGAGAGTCAGAGTAGAGATCAGATTCTCATTTCCTTTATAACAAGGGCATTTGGCAAAATACATGACATTGCTGTGAACATTCCAAAGAATCAGTTGGCTCACTTGAAGTATGTGGACTGAAATGACATCTGACTCCTGGACAACCTTAAGGTCTCCTGAAAAGCGATGGTCCTTCTGTAAATTTCTACAACTTGTTTCTGCTGCGGGTAAAACAGGTGGTTTCTTAGCATCACTTATAAATTATTATGTAAAATTAAATGGCCAGCCAGGTCCACATCCCTCAAGGAACCCTAAAGACAACATTCCAACACTAATTGATGCTGGCAACAATATTCCAAGCTGGTTGGCTAAATAGAAATGGGGGTCTGTACTCAACAAGGAGCCAAAGCTTTCTGGCATGGGAGCATCTCTGGGTTGGTCAAGAAGTAAATAAATGAATAAGTCACAATCAAACCCATGTGCAAACAATCCAGCATCACTGGGACCTACTCTTAGGAAACAGAAAAGCCTGCCAGGTGGTCGTCAAGATAGGATTATTTGGGGCTCTAGCTTAAACACTCATGGAAAAAACAGTAACAACACTAGCTATTTATAAGGAATTTAGGTATTAGGAAGATCTTAGAACTATCCCAAGAAGGTAGATCTCAGAGAGGTTAAATAATTTATCCATTGTAGCTAAGGAAAGCAGAGCTATGTGGCTTCGATACTCTGTTCATTTCACCATGACCCTCAGGGTTGGGAAGGGTGTATGTGAAACGTCCGCAGACCATACCTTCTACAAGTAGAAGTCCTAACCAGAGTCAGCTACATAGATAGCTCCCTGGTCTAGTTCCGGAGATCCTATTTTAAATTAAAGTGTCTGAAAGTGGAGCAATGACATTCATGCATGGGAGGATTCTCTTCTCACCCAAAATAAAACAGTATAAAATTCCAGTCTGTGTTTTGGGCAGAAGCTGCTTCCTTTGGGTCCTGGCAACAAGTGAATGAAAATCTGTATGGGAATCTGGGCCAGGTGGGAAATGAATGTAGGTTTGGGTACCCATCCTGCTGCCACCAGGGATTGAGAAAGTCGATCCAGGCCCCTTTGACCGTACCAGCTTACTCTGGGGATAGGGACAGGCAGTCTGGTAGAGACTGCTCTTTGGTTCGAACGGACCAGCAGTAGAAGTAGTGACAAAAAGGAGGTTATCTTCTGCACATGCTATTCACTAGCCAAGTAGGACCTTAGCAGGCCATGTGTATACACCCTACGCACCTAGATAACCCCTGTGAACCTTCCCACACAGGGAGCGGGCTGTGCAAAATGACACCCTTAGTTGATAATGACCTTTCATTATCAAATAAGCCATAATCTCTGAAAATAGGACTCCACCAGCATGATCAGGAGTTGTAACCACCGTCTCCAGGAGTTGGGGATAATGGGGGGAGGGGCTTCAGTCTAGCACTAGCACCTGGTCCTGCCTAGAGACTTCTCAAGAGCATTCCTCACCAAGACCTTGGCTAAAATCAGTTTCTTTACCCTCATGCAAAAATTCCATTGTTGATCAATTAATACACTACTGAACCATTAATGAAGAGGTATAGCTTTTAGTGGATAATGAACCATCATCTAGGTATTCAATTTCACCTTGTTCCTTGCCTGCTGCCGTCTTCTGCTTTTACTTTAAGCCTTCCCATTCTCATAGCCCTGCCTCTTTCTGACCGTTTTTTCTTTCTTTTTTTAAGAACACAGGCAATGGAATAAACTATGTATTTTCAAATATCAGGCTGCCACTTAGCTGTGCAAACTTGAAAAAATTGTTTCAGTTCTTTGTTTCTCTTAAATGGGAATAAAACTTAGATCTGCATCTCATTTCTTAAATGGAAAGAAAAATTAGATTATACTTCAGGTTTGTTGTGTGGCTTAAACAAGACACTCATGTAGAATGCTTAGGACAGTGTCTGGCATGGAGTAAGCACTTAATAGAAGGTAATTGATGTTGTAAGCTTGTCAAGAGCAGAGGGGAGCAGCCAGGTGTCAGAGTGGTCAATGCAAACAATAAGCCAAAAAGGAAAGCAACCCTCAAGTCTTTAATCATTTCCTGCACTAATATAAGTAAGAAGTATAAGTAAGAATTGAAACAGAAGAAAGTGCTGACTCCCTGAATGTCCCATGAGTCCCTGTAGAGAAACGGGTTGATGGATTGGGTAGATGTGAGGATGGTCTCACTGTCCACGGAGCCCAGAACAAATGGCTCCTCCTGTTCTACAGCCTGCGGCCAAGGGTGAGAAAAAGGAGAAGCCTCCGAGTGGGAAAGTGCTGAAAGCTGAGTCAGATGGAGGAAAAGGTCCTGGCGACCTCCCCACCTCCCATGCGGTGAGACGGAGATCTTAGCCTGAACGAGGCCTCCGATGGAGGAAACTGAGCTAGGACTGAAGCTATGCTGAAAGCACGTCCACTGAGGGAGAGGGAGGGCCTGAGCTCTTGACTGCAAGTCCCTTCAGAGGCTGTGGTGCGCTGGCTGCAGACCACGTCTGGTGTGAGAGGGCAGCCTCCAGCCATGAGGACCTGCCAGGGAAAGCCTTTGTAATGGGCCAATGGTTGGGCCTGAAAGGACACATACAGGATTTTGGCCATAGCCCCAATTCCTCAGGTTATTTGTTAATCTTCACACACACACACACACACACACACACACACACACACACACTCCATTTGTATAAAATCATTTGGAACAATGTCGATGCTATGGAGATTTTTATTGGGAAGAGAGTGTTACTTCACACAACTAATAGGAAAAAAAGAATTTTTAGTGATTATTTTTTGGCCTCCAAGTTTTTTTTCTTTTTTCTTTTTTTTCTCCTGCACGTCTTTGATTTTTTATTGCAACAAAATATGCGTAACATAAAATTTACCATCTTAATTATTTCTTCAGTGCATAGTCCAGTACTCTGAAGTGTATTCACACAGTTGTGCAACCAATCCCCAGAACGCTTTTCATCTTGCAAAACTAAAACTCTATACCCATTAAACTATTCCCTATTCTCCCTCCCCATCCCTGTAACACTTTTGACACTACCTTCTAGCCTTGCTGATTCTTCCTTTTTTATTTGTTTTCACCCTTGTTATGCAGAATGATTTCTCCTCTTCATCATTCCTAAGGCCCACCTTGGAATATCAAACTCTACCTGGTCCACACACCCCCACCCCAGGTTAATGCGACCCACCCTCCTTAGAAGAGACAAAGCCTTTACTTTGTAAAGGATTCCCTTCAAAGTCTTGGCTATCCATTCTAAGTGGCTTATCAATTTTTCACAAACAGAAATGATGCTTGTCCCATAGGACTTCTAGAAACAAAATTTATTTTATTTCATTATAGGATGAAATTATAGGGACCAGGAATTCAATGAGAAGACTACTGCCCTTATAATCACCTTTCTGGAGCAATCCCCAAAACCTTTGAACATGAAGTACATACATTCAGTGTATCACATTTTCAAATGATTTTTTTTTTTCTGGCTCTCTAGGTGATGTGTTGACATTCTTGGATTCTCACGTGGAATGTAACATTGGTTGGTTGGAACCTCTTCTGGAAAGGGTTTATTTAAGTAGAAAGAAAGTAGCCTGTCCAGTAATTGAAGTCATCAATGATAAGGATATGAGGTAATACTGTCATATTCCACAAGATACTTCTAAGCGAGTCTTTAACAGCAGCAGAAAGTACTGGTCATATTCCTAAAATGCACATTTTTGCAAATCTAAGAAATACACAGTGCATCAATTTAAATAAATGGAAACACATAATAGATATCTTGGGATCAGAGAAGGTCAATCCAGTAATTTATTTGATCATCAAAATGCTTAACTCTTAATAGCAATAAATCCTAATACTCAGTGTCCTGTTCTTTCCTCTTTCTATTCAGCTGTACCTGAACCCAGAAAATATTTATCTTCCTTAAGATTAGTTCCTCTTTTAGTGGGAAATAATACATAAGCTCCTAAATTGTTTTTCCCTCAAAAATAGTCAGAACATTATTAAAATAAAGTATAAGTTAAAAACTAGCAATCAAGCCAGTTAGTCACTAATGTTAAATTGTACTCATAAATTTGCTTGAAATGTTATTAAAAAGTTTGTGATAATCTAAAATCATTTGTGTAAGAACTTGTTTCATTCATTTGAACAAGACATGGTGTCAGGTTGCTTAAGTATATGTGTATGATCTCAGGTAGCACTTTTGTTTCTTTCCTGGATTAGTTACATGACAGTGGACAACTTTCAAAGAGGCATCTTTGTGTGGCCCATGAACTTTGGTTGGAGAACAATTCCTCCAGACGTTGTTGCAAAAAACAGAATTAAAGAAACAGATATAATAAGGTAAGTGTGTGAAATTTAAGATTGGAAAGCAATCGTGTATCTTTTTATAAAGGCATAGGAAACAATTCCACAAAACAAGTATTTCCTGTCATTCTGTAGACCATCAAGAATTACAGCTTTAGCCAATAGATGATCAAAAGCAAAGTTTTCCTAAGATATTACTTTCCCACTACCAAACCTCATTTTTTAAATGGTTAAGTGCAACTTATTCAGTCCTGAACCCAGGGAAATTCACTAACACTATTCCTGTTCCCTGGGATAGACAATGTAAGAAATATAAACTAAGTGAATATGCTGCATAAATGCTGTATGAACACATATAATGTTAAAGCCAACATGAGTAAAAATGAGAAGAGTAAATAATAGTGGTGGGGCGCCTGGGTGGCTCAGTTGGTTGAGCGACTGCCTTCAGCTCAGGTCATGATCCTGGAGTCCCGGGATCGAGTCCCGCATCGGGTTCCCTGCTCTGCAGGGAGTCTGCTTCTCCCTCTGACCCTCTTCCCTCTCATGCTCTCTATCTCTCATTCTCTCTCTCTCAAATAAATAAATAAAATCTTTAAAAAAAAAAATAAAAAAATAAAAAAAAATAATAGTGGTAAAAATATTATTGTAATAATAGCTACCATTTGGATTTTCTTTTCAATTCGAATCCTACCCTTCCCATGGGAGCCAAATTCTGTGAATGAATTGAGAAATAGATACAGAAGGTGGATATGAATTAAAAGAGGGGCTTTATTGCTGGAGAAGCTGGATTGAAGATCACAGTTTAGACCTGAAGCCAAAGTGAACACTTCCCCCAGAGTCTAGACCTGCAGGATAAGCATGCAGCCAGCCTCAGGCAGAGCAACAGGGGTCCCCAAAGCCTTCCCAGTTGGAGAGAGAACTTGAGCAGACAAGTGTCAAGAGAAAGCCCCAGCCCAGACTGTGCGTTGTAACATTATTTCTCAGAACTTAACCCTCAATACTGCATGCCTCATCCCTTGCTAGGTATGATGCCGTCAGAGTTGATATTCCTAGCAAGTCAAATAGAAGTACAATCATTTATTAAACACTGTGCATTTAAGCCTCTCTCTAACCCTAGGAGAGAGGTGGTAGTATTGTCATTGTGGAGATGAGGAAATTGAGCCTAAAAGAAGTAATTTTCCCTGGGATATACATCTGGTAAAAGAACAAATTGGGACTCAAACCCATATCTGCCTGCATTTAACACACTTACACTGATCCCACATCTAAAGAACCTCTTTGCCTTTTTTAGACTCCCATTTTGAGAGTTAATGTAGTGATTGAGTTCAGATTATATTCCACATAACATTAGGAAGACAATGCATTCTGGATGGACTAGAAAGGACATTGGGCAATCAGACAGAATATGTACATAAATGATGGGGGTAGGGAAGTAGGTGTGGGGCAAGAATTACCTTATCCTTGACATTGCTTTGTACCCTAAACACAAGACAGGCTTTCCACACAAACCTTTCCACTGGCTCAATGGTAACCACCATGGGAAGGGATTGCTGCCTTGTCTAGTTGCTGATTCAAGTGTAGTTTCTATCCCCCATAATCTATAACAGTCGCGAACGCTCTGGAGTCTGACTCTTTGGATATAAATCTCAATTCGATTACTTCCTAATGGTGTGAGCTTTAAAAAGTCACTTAACCTCTCTGAATCTCTGTGTCCTCATTTTTTGTTTTGTTTTGTTTTGTTTTGTTTCTGCATTAAGACTAATAGAAGGAGCTACCTCTATTATCTAAGAATTAAATCCTATTATATAACATGCTTTAAAAAGTGCTTGCCACATAATAAGCTGTCAATAAAAATCTGTCTACAGTTGAGGCAGTAGAGTGGAGTGAGAGATCATAGAGTCAAACTAGACCACCTAAACTGAACACCCGAAGTACATCTTACTAATCTGTGACCTTGGGAAAGTTCCTAACCGTTTCTGTGCTCTGGTTTCTTAATGGTACATACTTGCAGGATTTTCATAAAGTCTGAGATAATTACATACATAATACTTACAACAGTGCCTGGTACTCCTTTAGTACAATTAAATAGGCATTGTTAAAAATAACCTATCAGAGGTACAAGTCTGTGATTCAACAGTCTTACACAATTCACAGCGCTCACCACAGCACATACCCAGACCTGTACCTCTGAAACAAATAATACATTATATGTTAACAAAAAGAAGAAGAAGAAGAAGAAGAAGAAGAAGAAGAAGAAGAAGAAGAAGAAGAAGAAGAAGAAGGAGAAGAAGAAGGAGAAGAAGAAGGAGAAGAAGAAGGAGAAGAAGAAGGAGAAGAAGATAGCAGGAGGGTAAGAATGAAGGGGGGGAAATCGGAGGAGGAGAAGAACCATGAGAGACTATGGACTCTGAGAAACAAACTGAGGGTTCTAGAGGGGAGGGGCGTGGAGGGATGCCTGGTGATTAAAGAGGCAACGTTCTGCGTGGAAAAAAATAATAACCTATCTGGAGAGTTTGTGTCAGAGAGTAAAGGGCAAATAAGAATCCTACTTCCAGGCCCCATCTTTGCTGACCCTAATCAAGCTTTGCCACCATTAACTAGGGAACTGATGACTTCAGTGCTATTTGTGACTCCATTCCAAGACCTTCCCGTGCTTGGTAGCTATTTTAAAATATCTCTTAACTCCATCACAACTGCACAGGGACCCACTCGAAACGTTGAATTCCCAAGACATGCAAGCTTAAAATATCAAACATTTCTTTTTGTAGGTGCCCCGTCATGGCAGGTGGATTGTTTTCTATTGATAAAAATTACTTTTTTGAACTTGGAACATACGACCCTGGGCTTGATGTCTGGGGTGGAGAAAATATGGAGCTTTCATTCAAGGTATTACCAAGTGGTCCTCAAATCCTCTCTACAATTAAGACCTTATCATTTGGTTTCTTTTTACTAATATATAATGAGATATGGGACTGCCTCAGGGAGGAAATTCCACAGAAATTTAAGGGCCTCTAGATTAATGTTTTTATATCCCAGATTAAATTTGGAAGAATCAATAGCTCTCATGAAATTTATTAGAATTCCCTAGTATTTTATAGTCCTTTTTCTACATGTGACTTGGGAGAAATAACATCTTGCCATTCTGTATAAATGCTGTGGGATTCATGCTTCACACAAAATATCTCTGGGAACGTTTTTCTAGTATATCGGAAGTAATGAAATCATTCAGTAATGGGTCATGTTAGATAGACAGAAGTACAACAGGCAATGGTGCACCAACTTTGGACATCTCAGACAGTTCTGGGTATTTATAGTCATTGATCAACAGCTAAGAAAGCCTTGGCAGCAGCCAGAGTAAAGAGAATCCAAAAGGCAACTGCTTTCCTGAGGAGTGGGGTGGTATATAGTAAAAGGGCTATTACTTCGAGCTCATTTTCAAGTTGTGCTCCCTAAGCCATATGGGTCATCCCAAGATGAGAAGGGAAAGTTGAAAACATGGAAATATACACTCCTTTCCCTGATCCAACCAAAACAGGAATCCATATTCCATATTTTATACTTTGCAATTCAGTGAGAATTTCTTTATAAAATAAGAAGATGTACATTGATGGGTAGGGAATAAAAAAACATGTTTTACGAATCCTAAAATGGTCCACAGCAATGTACAAAACTAAATAAACCTGTTGAGTTTAATTTGAAACTAATGGAAAAAAAACTACTTCAGACTGGGGGGAGGAGAGAGTGGTCACCAGGTCATTCCTTGTCATTGATAACTGCCCATGATTTGCAGACATCATTTGATAATTGATGTTTATTATCATCCAGGTGTGGATGTGTGGTGGTGAAATTGAGATCATTCCCTGTTCCCGAGTGGGCCACATATTCAGAAATGACAATCCATACTCCTTCCCCAAAGACCGGATGAAGACAGTAGAGCGGAACTTGGTGCGGGTTGCTGAGGTCTGGCTTGATGAGTACAAGGAGCTATTCTATGGCCATGGGGACCACCTCATAGACCAAGGGTTAGATGTTGGAAACCTCACCGAACAACAGGAACTTCGAAAGAAACTAAAATGCAAAGGTTTCAAATGGTACTTGGAGAATGTTTTTCCTGATCTAAAGGCTCCCATTGTGAGGGCTAATGGTGTGGTAAGTTCAAGCAGCAATTACATTCTGACTCCGTAAAAATAAAGTTTAAAAACTCTTGAAAATGCGTGGAAAAGAATGAATTACATTATATGTAAATACTAAGTATGAGTGCAGATGAGACAGAGCACGGTTAAGGGTTAAATATAGGTGAACTTGAGGGAGGCTTTTAAGCAGCCATGTTCATTGATTACTTCAGCCAATACCTACTGGGTATCGATAAGCCAGACAGCATTTCAGAATTGGATTATAGGGTGATGTATAAAGCAGACTTGATTCCTGTTTGTGGAGCTTGAAGTTGAGTAGGGAAAACAATGTACAAGTATGTAACGTTTAAATAAAAAATAGAATGGCTCTCATTTAGGGAACTGGTCACAAGTGATGACTCCTTCTAAGCTAGAGTATTCAACCCTGAAGAGATGTTGAAGCCTAGGCCTGGAAGACAAGTGTCAGCCAAGCTCTAAAGGATCGAGTCTTAGGCAGAGGACTCCCTTGGTGCAAAAACTCTAAGATAGATGACTATCCAGGCATTCAAGAACTGCCAAGGAGAATGAATGTTGTCAAGGTGCGAAGGAGAGAAGAATGGCACCAAATGAAGGGGAGGAGGGAGGAAGAGTCATGTTACATAGGTCCTTGAAGGCAGAGTAAGGATCCTTCCTTCCTTCCTTCCTTCCTTCCTTCCTTCCTTTTTCTTTCTCTCTTTCCTTCCTTCCTTCCTTCCTTCCTTTCTTTCTTTCTTTTTCTTTCTTTCTTTCTTTCTTTTCTTTCTTTCTTTCTTTCTTTCTTTTCTTTCTTTCTTTTTCTTTCTTTCTTTCTTTCTTTTTCTTTCTTTCTTTCTTTCTTTCTTTCTTTTTCTTTCTTTCTTTCTTTCTTTCTTTTTCTTTCTTTCTTTCTTTCTTTCTTTCTTTCCTTTCTTTCCCCCCCAAATGTAAAAGGAGGTTATTGAGTAAGGTTAAGCAATGCAACAACATGATTTAATTAGATTTTTACAGATTTCAAACACAGGTTGAAAATAAAAGAAATCATCAAATGATGACAAAAAATTCCAGGGCACAATGTAATGTGCCAAAAGGGAAGAAACCAAGCTAAACAGATTGGATGGAGTACAAAGCTAAGAACTAAAGCAAGAAAGCAGAGAATCTGGATGAAAGCCATTTCAAACCCATTCTGGGGGTGGGGCTTAATTTGAAGAGGATGGCAAGACATGAGGATATTTACCATAGAGTAGGTTTAGAAGTTATTAGTCAAGCCTTGACCTAGAGCTCTTCCCCAGTCATGCATATTTTTAATCTGTTTTATTGTTTTCTCATTTATTTTTTATTTATAAATATTCCAGGCATTATTTCATTTTCTTTAAGAATTTTCTTTTTCTTCATGAAAGAGGTTCTCAGAGTTGACCATCACTTGTAAGCCTGTTGTTTTAGGCCATGTTTGTTCAGTTCTCCCTAGAAAGTGAATTTTACAAACCAATCACTCTCACTCTCTGCCTGGGAAATTTCCTGATGACAAGGACTTAGTAAAGCCATTCTCCTCGACCATATAGGGGAGATTCTGGAAGAGTATGAAAGAAAGGAAACATAAAAATTCAACTGACAAACTAATATATGTGACCTGTTTGTATGTAACATAATGTAGTATAAAATTGTCATTTTTATAGGTCAAAATAGAATAGCAGCTATTTCTGGTAGTTCTTGACCTGGTGTTTTTTTTCTAGGTAACTTGTTAGGAAGAATAGCCCGGATTTATACACTGTTCAAATAATGTGTCTGTAAAATAAACTTTTATATATATATATTTTAATTCTAACTCCTGAGTAAGAAAAAAAAGAAATTCTCAGCATAGTAATTTTTTTTCCTAACACAGGATCTCAGCAAGAGCATTACTGAACTTTAACCACCAGAGGGAACTAAAAAACTACCTTTTGCTTCCCCTGTGAGGTTAACTTGTGTATGAGTTCCCATGAAATTTCTGAAGAGCTCTCCTGTAACAGCTTTCTGCTGATGCCTGAGCTATAATATATTAAAATGCAGAAAATATTTTTAAATGATTTTTTAAATTCTATTTGTTGCTTTCCTTGGACAAATTATAATCAAGGTATCATTTGTTCCCTTCTTAAATAACCGGTAGGGAGCATTATTACCAGTTTTAAAAAAGATCTTTTTCCAGACATTTCAGACGAAGATTAACGTGACAATTATTTTGGACAGACAGTTTTGAAAAGTCCCAAGAAAATAAACTCTACAACTTTTTGTCATTTGCTCCACATTTTCCCTTCTTTCAATCCTATTAGGATTTACAGCGCAAGATTTTTTTGTTTCCTTTTCTTTTTTTATAAGAACATATCATACCTTTTTGAACCAAAAATATTTAATGAGTGAAAGAACCTCACTAATAATGTGTCTTTATATTGGATTAGATGCTTAGCAAATAGCCTGTAGCCCAATGTTTAGTAATTCTGTGATGAACTGTGGGGAACTCCACCTCCTAAATTGGAAAGTGAAATAATTCAAAATGGGTAATTTAAAATGTATAGACTGCCTGATTTTTTAAAAAAGATTGAAGTGGTTTACAATAAAAGCATAAATACAATTCCTTGAAAATAAAATGAGGATTCCATTTTTAAAACCATTCATAATAAGATAAAGAAAAACAACTCCTTAGGACTTCATAAATCATTTCTATGTGAAGAAAAGCAGTTTCTCCAGAAATTTCTGATAGGGAGGAAGGAAAACAAATCTTCAGAGAAAGCAGGGGAGCGGAAAGCAAGGGAAAGAAAAATTTTTTCCTTCCATCTAATGCTTTTCCATGCTTGGCAGAAGGGACTGTACAAAATAAATACAAAAAAAAATCGGTTAAACCAGGAGTTCCCTACACTGCTCTGGGCAATGTTAGTTGTGCTGCCAGAAATAGGATCCCAGGGCCAAATATATTTGGCAGACACTCATGCTTCAACTCCCTCTTATAGCAGAGAGCTAAACATTAACGTACTGGAGGTTCTGCGAGGTTCTGGAGCTATACAACCTCTTTGGCTGTATTGAAGCCAGTTTTCCAAACGCGTGGGAAGACAGAATATTTTCTGAGTAATCCACAAATACAGAAGTTTATACTTATCTCTGTTAAAATCCAGAGAGCAATTGGAGCACATTTCCTTTCTTTAATCTCCAGGATTATCCTTCTTTCATGCATTTCTATTAAATCGCTTCTCTAAAGTTGATTCTTTCTGTGCGTCCTGACTGCTCCATTTCCTAATGGTGGATTGTCTCCTCCCACATTTGTCACTCTACATTGTGAATAGAGTTTTCTTTGAAGATTTCTGATGGAAATTCTGTCCTTCTAGAGTTGTTTTACCTGCCAGCCACCCCAGAAGTAACCAACCTGGTACTATTTTTTTTCTAAGATTTTATTTATTTATTTGAGAGAGAGCACGAGAGGGCATGAGTGAGGTGGGGGTGGGGTGAGGGGAGCAGAGGGATGGGGGAGAGGGAGAAGCAGACTCCCCACTGAGCATGAGCCCTTTGCTGTGGGGCTTGGAATTGGGCAGTTGTGGGGCTGGATCCTAGGACCCTGGGATCATGACCTGAGTCAAAGGCAGGCGCTTAACCAACTGAGCCACCCAGACGCCCTCAACCTGGTACTATTTTTATGTCTGTCAAAGTTCCTATCCAATGGAAGTAGTATAAACTTGCATCTCAAACCCAAATGAAGGTCCATGTAAGGTTCAGATTCCCAAGGGAGACTCTAGTTTCCCCGTTGTCTCCCTGTGCTACCTACGGGGTAAATTGTTTTTCCTGGGACATTGTTCTACTGAGGGTCTAATTTTTTAGTCGTCCATCTTTATGTGGAAGACTGCAGTTCCAACTCTCTCGCTCACTCTTATTTTTTCTCCTGTTCTTACAATGTTGGTCCCTTGCCTACCAGCATTTGCCATTTTCCCACTTGCTGAAGGGCTTTGTTTTGTTTCATTTTCTGGTCCCTGAAGATGCCCCTGACTTTCTTGCAAGCTAAGCTATGCATGTAAAAGTGAGCACCTTGTTATGAAGGCTTACAGCTCTGAGCTACACAGCTGTATCTTGCAATACCCCAGAGTTAGAGCTCTGTGTTGGGCACCACAGAACAGGATGGGGCATAAATAGTGACCTTGCCAACAAAGACTTCACAACCTCGCAGCTCAGAAGGCTTTCCTGAGTGTAGACTTGACTCTACACAGCTCTTCTAGGAATCTAAGAAGTCTAAATTGCACTATTAACTCACCAGCTCGTTAGCCTTACCCAAGATGTCAAAGGGGGCAAGGGAATCAACATTTTTCTGCATTAAATGGTGACTTATAGAAAGCTGCCTCCATATTTGACCCTGCAAATCCATTAAAAACCTGGGGGCCTGCCAGATAGTGCCTTTAAGTTTGGCTCTGTATTAGCTTTCATGACTTTCCTGTGATGAATTGTAGCTTGCCTGAGTCATTAGGAAGATTCTGACAGAGAATCAGCTGGAATCTGCTGTTCTTTGAAGGACTCAATTTATCTATGATTCAGTGCCTAAGCAGTGAAATAGCTTGAAGGGGTCAGCCAGGGAACAGAGCCTGTAACTGTTGGTTTGATTAAATTGCAAGTCTATGCATTGACTTTTAATGTATGCATCAGAAAAACTTGAGACAAGAAAATAACTACTTTTCATGCTACCTTTTGCTTATTCCCTATTCAGCATTCCAGGCAAGGGTTAATTAAAAGCTTCTGTTTGTTGGCTCTGTGGCTGAATCATAGGCCTAAATTGACAGATTGAAGCTGTACTTTAGCAAGATTACATTATGTCTCTGTTAGAGATAGCAACCAATAAAACCGTATAGTGCTAAGTAATGCTAAGCTATCAACTTAACTATCTTCTAACCTTATTATAGTTTTATAGTCTGTGCTTTCTGAATGTCTTGTTCTACTTTAAAATATTTTTTCTTAATGCATATTTTATATTTTGTTCCCTAGCTTATTAATGTGGCCTTGGGCAAGTGCATTTCCATTGAAAACACCATAGCCACTTTGGAAGACTGTGATGCGAGCAGCAAGGTACGTGGGGCTGGGTTTCCTCTCTCATCATAGACAAGGTTGATAGATGGAGCAAGTATACCTGATAAGTGCACATTTACCACTCACTTGAAAAATTTATTTTTGCTGTACAAACAATAATTAATGTGTAAATTTTTACATGATCGTAAGGTTGCTGTTAAGACAGCCTGCCGCTAAATGTAAAGTTAGTGACCACGGGAGTAAATCTATGAGTACTGAAGTCCACCTACCAGGGACCCAGTTCTGGCTCTGTCACTTTCAAGTGTGTTACCTTTGCAAATCCTTTAACCTTTAGGTAAATAGCAGTTATAACAGCACCTACCCCTAAATCAGGTTTGAGGATCAAATTATGTCATACAGATGAAGCATGTAGAACAATATTTAACACTCAGTGCTCTGCAGATGTTCACTGTTATGATAATAAAGACAAAAAATGTGAAAAAACTTACATCTAAAGATAAAAAAATAAAGGAAATAAAGGCAGAGCATATTTTTAAATAATCTAAGGGAGACATTTTATTCTGATTCAGTCCCCTCTTCCCCATTCTCCTACATATTGAGGGAGTCATGCAAATTACATAATCCATGATCCATGGTGGAAAACCCTTTAGCAAATCTCTGACAAACTCAGAGCACAATGGTTAGGGGAGGAAGGAGGGCCAGGGAGAACAGAGCAGGGACTCTGCAGAGCTGGAGGTGAGTTCTGAGTGATGGCACCTCCCTCTTCAGCAAATGTTCCCCACCAATTCTCATTCTGTGCAGATATTATTGGTTTCAATGCCAAATAAAACTCATAAAAACATCAATCCATGAGTAAAACTCAGCATCCTCAAGTTGTAGATCACTCTTTGGTAAAGAAATTATTTTGTGATGAGAATCTAGGCTTCCCTCGGCTTACCTGTTTTCTTCGACTTAGAGATATTGCTTCTATTTCTGAGCACATCTCCTCTCTACCTCTTAATTCAAAGCTGAAAAGATACTTTTGTCTTCTCTGTTGCTATAATTCAGCTATGGATTGTAAACTTGAGGCTGAGGGAACTCTTAATTAGGAAAGAAAGGAGGCAGAGGGACGAGAAAAGTGTCAAAAATCATTTGAAAGATACAACTCATATTAACAATTCAAAGAGGAAATAAAGTCATAAATTACAAAATAAAACTACAAGTAGTCCAAATTATATGAAAGTAAAGTATTATTTCATTCAGCCCTTCAAGACTCATTCTTCTCGTGCTTTTCTGTGCCTGATTAACCAGTATTTTATCTGAAGACCCAAGTTGTGGTCTGGATAACCGCTGAGTTTCTCAAGGGGATGCTGGGAGGCGAAAGTATGAATATGCAGCCCCTGCTTTCCACAAACCCCGTCTCCCTTGTCTTGTTACTCATTTTAAGCTTGTAGTTTGTTTGAATAATAAAAAGTAAAGGGACTTGGAGGAAGGTAACTTATTTTGGCAGAATTAACGAAGCTTAATACCAAGCCAGTTTATAGCATTCATCCAAAAAAAAGCTCAAAAGGAATAAAGCCCGAGGATTCAACCACCAAGCCTTATCCTTCACTTTACCTAAAAAGTCTCCTTAGCTATTAACTTTTCAACCAGCTGAGATGTCCCTTTTAAAGGTAATGTCTAGCTTCTCTTAGTAGCCACATAACTTCCTTATATTATGACATAAGACCATGCTTCTCAAATTTTAATGTGCACACAAATCACCTGGAAAGTTTGTTACAATACAGATTTCTGATTCAAGAGGTTCATTTCTGATTCAAGAGGTTCAAGAGGCTGAGATTCAGCTGTTCCAACTAGCTCCCAGGTGGATGCTGATGTTGGGCCAGAGCCTACCCTTTGAGTGGTGAGGTCTAACTCAATGACATACTTGATAATCTAAGTTAAATCTCAATTACATTACAAATGATTCAGTAGGTAAAAGCATTTAGATAAATTTTACCAGCAGTCTATTTTTTTTTATGTTCACATTGGTGCAAAACAACAAACTTCCCACAGACCCACAGACTTAGAATAAATTGACCAGGCAGATAGTACTAGGGTGTAAATAACTGGATAAAATACTTATAAAAACTGAAAACATGGTTCCATTACCTGATTTAGACGTTGGCAACTCCCCAAAGCTGGACTTCTCCAAGAGTAGTTCTTATGAACTAGGGGATGCTGGTAGAGCAGAACCTGACGACTCTTTTGGCTATCAGCATAGAAAGAGTTTTAACCTTTCTTACAATAGAAACGTTTTTTAGCCTTAAGAAAGATTTTTTTAACCTTTCCTACAATGCCTCTAGATCTAGATAGTCTAAACAAAGAAGCATAATAATTTCCACCAAAGTAATTTAGGACTGTGATTTGGATCTTCTTATAGCCCTAATGGCTATGGATGGTTTGAATGTTCCACTACTTCAGGCACCAGGCTTCTCTGGGATTCAGAACACCTGAAATGACCTCTATTTGTAGACATATACTAACCGTACTCAATAATTTTTATTACTGCAACTCACATTTATTGAAGGCTTACTGTGTGCTAGACACTTAACAGTCATTACTTCAACTCTCTGAGATACACCCTATTGCTATCCAACTTAAAAATGATAAAAATGAAATTAGATATGGTAATAATATGCCAATGCTGTCAGAATTGAAAGTGGCAATACCGGGATTTGGGTACAAAACATTTGATCAAAGTGCCTATATCCTTGACCATTGCTAACGAAAATGTTCAGCAAAGCCCCTACCTGTGTTTGCTGCCTGGTGACCTTCTCCTTGTTCATTTCCTGACAGCTTCAACAATTTAATTACACCTGGCTAAGACTTATTAAACATGGAGAATGGTGCTTAGCTCCCGTCCCTGATATGGGGGCTCTGAGGCTGCACCCTTGCGATAACAGGAACAAAGTGCTAAGATGGCTGCATAAATCAACATCAGTCTTTCATCCAGAACTGGTAAGCAAAATATGTGTACCTCTTCTTTATCTCAAATCTAACTTCCAATTAAATGGGACATAAAACTCTCATTGTCCACGTCTTCAATCAGAAGCTTTCAATTTGTCTGTGGCAAAAGAGGCAGTGTAATAGTTCAAACAGAGAGATAAATGGATAGTTTTGCAAATTGTCAAGTCCTTTTTTTCTTTCACAAAATTTATTTCAAATCTGTTATTTTAAATATAAGCCACCCATTTCTTTGGCTATATGGCTATCAGCATCTTTGTTTTTAAAGAAACATTTACTTCAGTCAACTAACAATGCCAAAAATCATGCTTATAGGCTAGAACTTGTTCTCACTGGTTACCAGAGAAGCCCTTAGGGAGAGTATATGGGGAAAGAGAGAAGCAGTATGCTTCCTACGAGCCTTGCACTTTAGTATGACTCTGCTTTTCAGCATTCTGCCTCCTTTCCATAAAGGGAGACTTTTTCTCACACACACACACCCCCCCCTCGTTGCCAGAGACCTGGGCCTTAACAGGTGTTAGAAGCAGCTCCCCGCTGCTTGTAGGAGCTGACAGTGTGCTGCGTGCACCTGCCGACATCACATTCAGTGACATCACCTGGGTAGCTTGAAACCAGCCATTATGGGAGGATTTCTGTAAACCCATGCTCCTAATCCAGGGATGTTTTTCTAGAGGTCCAGTTGTTAATATTTATCAGACTACACCTGCTATATCCTATTTACTCTCAAAGTCCTGATAGGTTTTCCCAATTCTATTTTAACAAGATACAAAGTCATAAGTTTTGGTGTAAGATCTTGGAGTGACAAAAATAATTTCAGGCCAACCTTCTTAAATTTTCTATTATCTCACTAACAAGTAATCACCAAATCCACAAAATGCACTGGGTATATGAAGACCATCATTTTGCTCAGGGTTGTCCCCAAAGTAAGCACTCCTCCCTGCCCTTGAAGTGCCTCCATTTCTTTTGATTTCACAACCAGTGACTACTCCCTTCATGGCATTTTTCTTCCTACTTGGGGTCAAAATCAGGGCTTGAGCAACATAGTTCCCAATCTTCCTCTCTTTCAATCTTCTCTGTTATATTTTGATTTCTTCTGGGCATTTTTTTTCTCTTTAGTGATAATGACTAAAATTGAGTTATTTAGAAAAATTAGGAATTACTAGTGTACCGGTTACTAATTTTATGTTGCATAGTGTTGGAAAAATCCATAAACATCTATCAGATATTACCTTCTGCTTCCTTGACCTTATGCCAAAGAAAGCTGGAGGTGGGGCCAGAGGTGAGAAAGGATGAGAATGAGAACACATTTTTCATCTCCAGAAATGAATCTGTTACCAGAAAAAAAAATTCACACTAGTGAGAAAATATTTAGGAGTAAGCAGCCCTTAAATCACATATGTCTTATTTATAAACTGCGTTGGCCCCATTGAGAACTTAAGGCTTCATTAGCTGATTTTTATATAGGCTTAATTTTGGTCCCTATAAATGGTAAGCCAGTTTGTAAAGAGAGTAATTTAATTAAGATGGCAAAAATTCGATGTTTCCCAATCCTGTTAGTGCCTATGAATTTGTAGCATGTCACACTGCTGCCTTCTACCTTAAGTTCCCCTTTCCATGCTGCTAGATGTCATGGAGATTAATATGTTGACAATAGTATTCCTTATTTTTTCAGTATTTTGGTAATTTTCATACTAAACCTCCTGAGGCATCCAAAGCTTGTTAAGTCTTTAAAAAAGAAATGGAGAAAAATACTGAATAACAGGAAGATGTCTCCCCCTTTAGCATTAGGAATCGAGAGCTTCATAGAAGGAAATAGGGTAACAGTGACTTTGATCCTGAATACCAATGAATTGTTAAAATTATACATTTCTAATCTGCATTTAAAAGATATTCTCTAGGCCAGCCCACCCCAAATGCTGTGGATTATAGATACCTAAGAGGAAATTGTTTCATAGGTAGCTCCTAGGTACTGTGACATGGAATGACCCTCCACCACTGGTCTCTTCATCAAGTGTCCTTAGGTTGGGGACGAGTTATTCAATTACCTCTTTACAGTCCACTGGCAGAATGTTGTAGATAATCCAGGATGATTTTGCTCAAGGCCAACTCCTTTACAAAACCTTGAGCATACTCAAACATTATATTTCCAAAGCCCTACAAGGATGACAATGGTTTTGTAGGAACATCTTTAAAATAAACTATTATGAAGTCACCCCTATTTGGTATATTTTTTTAAATATTTCAAAACAATATACATATAATTAAGATTATCTTTGTCATAGTCATGGAAAAAAATGAGAGGATTAATAGGTGAAAAAAATTATAAAGTCATGAGCAAGCTATTATTTCTAGGATATTCAGTAAATAGAACTCCTCTGAAATACCTTTGACTTTTTTCTAATTACATCTGGATTTTCTGGACATCAGGCATTACATACTATCAGATATTACGATGGGTAGCTTATAAATAAATACATCATTTCTAGCACTTTGTATCCCAAGTTTGCATTCTAAGGTATAAACTTAATTAAAAAATTAACTGACTCACTTTTTGTGATGGCTGTTTTTTCATGATCACCATCAATTAGAAAGCCATCATCCATCAAATATAGTAAATGCATATGGAATAATTTCCTCTAAACAATATAGTTATCAGACCCATCATCAGAAAATAAATCTTTTGCTTCCTCCCTGAGGAAGTTGTAAAAGTCTTAAAAGCCTTGTAGCTTTAAGAAGAGAGAAGTTAGTTTGAGATGGAGACAAGTTTAATACAGTCCAAAGGCTGTGTTCACATTGTTGTTTAGTTCAGAAGAATTCCTAAGGAATCAAAAATGTAATTATCTTTTTTTTAATTAGTTTTCGTTTCTTTATATTTTGGTGGTCAAATTCATTCTGTGGCTCATTCCCAGATCCCCTTTCTTTCCAGGTGAATCACATTGTTTTTGGGAACTATCATCAGTTGTTATGCTTAGAAGGAAATGTTTTTCAGAAGACCCTGAAAGTTGCTGCTTGTGACCCAGAAAAGCAATACCAAAAGTGGAAATTTGAAAAGTATTATGAAGACTAAAGAACAACTAATATTTTTATCTAGTAAACCCATTAGACACTGTGAAAATGACAGTGGATGTGAGGACTGTATTTCTCCACGGTAGTTTACATTTTCAAAATTAAGAGCATTTGAATAGGAGATTTTAAAAACCCACAATATTTGAGAAACCAAAAGTAAGCTCAGGGAAACAACCTAACGTTGAACTGGAGTCCATTTCCAGCTCTAGGTGGCCTTTTGAATTGCATGCTTCCTGCCCTGTGCTGGATGGACCTCAGCCTGCCAACTTCCCCATGCAATCAAACAGGTAACAGGAAATACAGGAAATGAAGCCAAAAGTACTTGAGGAAGTACAATGATATTCATGATGACTGAGTTTGATAATAACCAGCTCTTTTGGCCCACAAGTAGGTATAATCAATGAGAACCTATTCTTTTATTTGCTTTTTTTTTTTAATTCAAAAAATTACTTGAGTTCCTATAGCAAAAAGGCCTCAGAAACACACAGCTGTCATCTTGGTGAAGTCCCTCCCAGCTACATGCCTGTTCACCTAACAGTATCGTATCATAGTCCTCAACTCCTCCTCAATAGACTTTGATCTAGATGACTACATAATGTTTTTTTATTTTTTTTTCCCCCAGTCTGAGTCAGTGGAAAAAAAACTTTAAGTGAGGAAGTCAAATGCTTATTCAGTTCTAGATATAGACATTGTTTCAATTCATTTTGGGCTTTTAAAGCTACACTTTAAAAGAAGAGTCCTGCTAGTAACTTCCTAGACTTAGGTGGATGTTAAAAAAAAAAAAAAAAAAAGGGCTGGGTCACAATGCACTGTAGTCACCAAAAATACCCTAAAAATACACTTAATAACACTGTAATGTAAGACCAAATAAGAGGAGCTGAAACAAAGCAGCAATAGAGCACTGAAAAATATTAAAGATTTATATAAAATATGACTAGATTTAACAGCATTCACAGGGATGAAGTAAGCTACAAGTAAGCTCTAAAAGAGTTCAAAGTAGAAGTAAAATGAAGTAAATATAATGAAAGGGGAAGAGAAAGAGGTAAGCAACCCTCTGGAAGAGAGTTAAGAAAAAAATTGACCTAGACTTGGCCAGAAAAGAAAAGGAACCTGGCACCTCTGTGGGGTGGGTGTGGGAGCTAAGGCCGTGGATGTGGGCCTAATGATAACACTGATAAATTTGGGGAAAAGTCCAATAGTTCTTCAATCCACACTGAATTCCTAACCTTACGTATGCCAGTATTTAGGCATACCAGAAGAGATTCTAGAAATCCTAACATCCTTTGTATTGATTTTTGGTAGGCAAATTGATGCCCGGAAAACATATTACCTGTCTAAGAGTCCCACAGCAGTTAGTGAGAGATGAGGATTCAAATTTGGATCTCCAGAGACAGGGCTCAATCCACTGCCCCAGGCCACGGACCTAAACAAATCTGTTTCACAGCATTCTTAAGAAAGAGAGACATAAACCTTTTTGCTGGCTTTGGGTCTCTGGAGGAAAACCATGCTATATGCTTGTTAATAGAAAAACAAAGCTTTGTTCAGTTGAGCTGATGGTTAAACTGGGCATCTTTAGTTCTGACTTCCTATTTCAAATTTAATTTTATCTCCCAATTAATTGCACAAAAGCAGAGCTATGACTCAGAAGAGAAACAGTTCTGCCTATTTGCATCATATTTAAGAGGTTTTAGTCAGATAATTGATATTGCAGATGAGATAAGAGAATGACTAGAAAATGAGATAATTCTTTTCAAAACAGAGCCATATGGGGGATAAAACACAAGTCAGTTGCCAAAGGACTAGCTGAATTGCTGACCAAACTGAATATGCTGAGTGCCTCGTGCAATTCTTTGCGTAACTGCAAAAATGTTGAAAGGTTTTTTTGCCCCCAGTCTGAAGACTTTTCTTATTCGAAAACAGTTTCCACAAAACACATCAAGTCTATTCAGAAAAAGACAATTATGGTTTGGAAACACTTACCTTTGGACATACAAGTGAAAGAAATTTGAATGTTTTTCACAAAAATCTTCTACAGTCTGTTCAGTGTATCATCTTCCTGACTTCACCTTGACATAAGAAAAAGCTTTACTGGAATCTATATTGTTGATATAGCAAAGGATTGTTTTCATACATGACATGTTTGTTCTTGGAAAGAATTTTAAAAAGAGCTTCTACCATGTATTTACTCAACTACTCTAAGATGCAAGGAACTAATCATTAATTGGAAATCTTTTTATAGGCCTAAACTGCAGAGTATTGACTAATTATGAAATCTCCTACCAACACTTTTTATTTTTATTTTTTAATTACTTCCTTTTTTATTTTTCTATTTTTATTATTTTTATGTTTTTTTATTATGTTATGTTAATCACCATACATTACATCATTAGTTTTTGATGTAGTGTTCCATGATTCATTGTTTGCGTATACACCCAGTGCTCCATTTAATACGTGCCCTCTTTAATACCCATCACCAGGCTAACCCATCCCCCACCCCCCCCAATGAAACTGGACCATTTCCTTACACCACACACAAAAATAGACTCAAAATGGTTGGAAGACCTCAATGTGAGACAGGAGTCCATCAAAATCCTAAAGGAGAACACAGGCAGCAACCTCTTCGACCTCAGCCACAGCAACTTCTTCCTAGAAACATTGCCAAAGACAAGGGAAGCAAGGGCAAAAATGAACTATTGGGACTTCATCAAGATAAAAAGCTTTTGCACAGCAAAAGAAACAGTCAACAAAACCAAAAGACAACTGACAGAATGGGTGAAGATATTTGCAAATGACATATCAGATAAAGGGCTAGTATCCAAAACCTATAAAGAACTTATGAAACTCAACACCCAAAGAACAAATGATCCAATCAAGAAATGGGCAGAAGACATGAACAGACATTTTTGCAAAGAAGACATCCAATGGCCAACAGACACATGAAAAAGTGCTCAACATCGCTCGGCATCAGGGAAATCCAAATCAAAACGTCAATGAGATACCACCTCACACCAATCAGAATGGCTAAAATGAGCAAGTCAGAAAATGACCGATGTTGGCGGGGATGCGGAGAAAGGGGAACCCTCCTACACAGTTGGTGGGGATGCAAGCTGGTGCAACCACTACCAACACTTTCTAAAGCATTACCCCTCTACATTTTGTTTTCAGAAGACTGCAATAAAGGTGTAAATGCTACTAGGCCTCTGGCACTTCTAGTGAGAAACCCCTGAGTGGGACACATTAGGGTCCTATTCAACCCTAAATTCTTCAGTAGGAGGCTATGTTATGGGGAGACTTCAGAGTTTTCCTTGGGTTGGCTTGAGTCATTGACTTCTCTTAGAGAAGTGTCTATACATTTTGTTACTTTAAACACAAGCATAGTTTTGATATTTTACAGGACTTATTTGATCAAAAACTAACTTACCAGACCATCTGAGTGCTTCTGAACTTTTGGTTTGCACAGTTCCCTTCTCTTTTTCAACAGTTACCCAGAGCTTCTCCCTGAAGGATGACACAGCTGTTGTTGGTACAACCATGTTTTATCACCAGCATCAAATTTGCTCAATTCCGCTTGCTGACATTCAATCAGCTGTCATTCACAGGGCCCAAAACCACCATATGCCATAATCATATTGTTAGTTTTCCACAACTAATTTGGAAAATTCTTTTAGATCTGAAAACACCTTGTTTATAGTATTGCCTTAGGGATTGTAGAGGAGCAAAGATACCAGTTTTAGTGTACAGGAATTCAAATTCTCCAGTCAACCTTGAATTTATGAATGGTTTAGGATGATTTTCAAGGGGTTCTCATGCAAGAGAGTGGGGTTGAGGCTGGCCAGATAGTACCATCTTTATTTGTTTTAACAACTTTAACTTCCATGTTCAAACACAGAAAAGAAACTACGCCTCAGATGAGGATTCCAGTATCTTTGATACAAACAAGGAATTTATAGGGAATAAAGGGAAAACAGATGAGAACTGATTATCTTTGAGTACCTACCATGTGCTAGGCACCGACTGTACCCCATCTCACTGTTGTACACAACTCAGTGAATTAGGTCTTACTCTCCTCATTATGCAAAGAGGATGGCTGAGAGGTATTATCTAAGATCATCCCACTAGTAAGAGATTGAAATCTGGTTTTCATTCTATCTGGCTGAAAAAAAAAGAAGAGGAAGAAAAGAGTCTCTTTGACAACAACATGTTGCTATGATTTGTTTTTTTTTTTTTTTTCTTTAAGCAGGGCAGTCAACTTGTGTGGGCTTAATTAAAATCCCTTCATTGTGAAGGCAAATGTCTTAGATCTCCCTAGGCTGTGATATAGAGGCTGCACCTTTTCCTTTAACTGAAATGTAGGCTTAAGGTTAGCTATCCCCACCTGCTTTGCAGTTGTCTATCTCCTTGACTTCATGCGGGACATATTCTTTTCCATTTCCTATAATAAATATGAGAAGGAGAAGTAGACATAGAGAAATTGCTTCCCTGTAAATAATACTGCCAACTCTTTCTTCCCCCAACCATTAATCAAAACCGACAGATTGCCCAATTTCAACAGAGGTGGGAAGTAAAACATTGAAGAGTCCCTTAATTTAAAATACAAACTAAAGCCTGTAACTTTTACTTCATTGTGTAGATTGTCACCATAGTGCTTTTACAACTTTTGTGTAGGTTATTCAAAAATTGCTATGAGCCAAGTGCCTTGAAATGAGGAAAGGAACACTAACCAAAGCTAATAGATAAAATATTTATTTTTGGCAAATAGCCATTCCATGGAAAAGTTTGGGTAAGCTATGTAAAGTATTAAATACTCCTGATGAGGTTTAATGGATGTTATTTCAGGTAGGTATTGACACCTAACAGAAAGGAAAAATAATCCCATCACAATAAGCAGATTCAATGCCACTGTTTTCAACCTAATAGGTCAACTAGTAGTTACCATCCCAATAGGGTCTCTTTGCAAGTTTATGTGAATCATTGCTTTGCAAAAACATACAGGAAAGTTCTCATTTTTCAACAAATAGAGCAACTTCTAATATGGTGAGTTTCTGATGATGACGGTTGCCATTAAATAAGTAACAAATAATATCTTTGAAAACAGGGGCTTTCTATTTTATTATTGATTGATTGGTATTTACCAGTTCAAGGATATTAGTCATAAATATCTATATAAATAAAACCTTTATATTAGATATAAAAACTAATTTTTTGAGGGCCTAGATTATCTTTGCTTGACCAAAAACATCGATTTTTGTAAATATATATGTATACATACATATATACCCATATAGATAAATGTGTGTATATATTCATATATTCACATATGCATATGTGTGTGTGTGTATATATATATATAATGAGTCTCTATATTTTATGCTTTGAAGTGGGAGAAAATAAGACCAAGAATTCCTGCTTATAAATATAAAGAAAACTATGAATGTTTTTGGATATTTTTAATTCTTTTAAGTGTACCATTTTGCATCTGGCCTTCTGGACAAAAGTATCTCCAGTGGACTTTCACTCTGGGTATCATTTTCCATACTGGAAGGGAGTAACCAAATTCTAAATTATCAAGATGCCTGTTGTTCATTTTAGATTATGCACATGCCTTAATTCTCCTTCAAACAACTGCCCAGATGTTGCTAGTTTACACATATTAGCTATCAGAGATGGACAGAAAAATAAGAGAAGGCAAAGGTCAAATTAGTGAATTTTCTCATTGATTACCTAAAAACTTCTGTTAATGGGAGAACAAGATTGAAACAATGGAATATAAAGGAATTTGGAGTTAATTTGAACATTTTGAAGTACCCAATTTTTCAGCCTCTACTAACTGAAGTTATTATAAAGAAGGAATCAAATATGTAATTTTAAGTCGCTACCTAAAAATTCAGATTACTTTCCAAATTCATTTCCAAGACTCTCCCACACTGTCAGTTGATTACCAGGTATTGCCCTTTGATTTTGTAGTTTGCCTTGTATCTGTTGGGTGATTTCTGCTGTTGATTACTACCCATGTCATTGTGTTTATGTTGATTGTATAGCTTAGTCACCTCATGTTCCTCATGAGCTGTATACACATTTTGGTATTCATATTTATTTTGTTACTGTCTGATATTTTAATATTGGCAAATGTTTGCTATAACTTCTGATATTACTTTTTATAGCCCTCTTGTTTTTATAGAGCAATGAATGTTAAGCCTTTAAAAGTAGTTGCCTTTCTCATATGGTCAAACATATTTCTTCTTTATGATACTCTGGTGCTTTATCTTTTGCCATAATTCTCTATTATTACTTATTTTAAATGTTTTTCCTATCACTTTGAAAAATTAAATGTCCTTTCTTCATTTGAAAATGTGCCAAAAGTACTATCCCATGTAAATATGCAGAAACAATGACTATAAAAGTGTCAGCATGGTTTAAATGTATTACCTTGATGGCTATAAAGATATATATATATGTTTTTCAAGTTGTTGGAGTTAAGGTGTATCTAAAACAAGAGCTCAGTTCCTATAAAAATAATACAAATTTTTCATGAACATTACATACCAACTACCAGATATTCTTTTTGCAATTCTGTACACAATCATTTTAAGACCTTTTGAAATAATGCTTTTTGAATTTAAATAAGGGGTTCTCTTGATTTCTAAAGCAGCATTTCTTAATGGTCTTTAATAGCTGCTGATATGCAAGCGTTCTTCCTAAATTTTAAAGGGCAGCGAAAGAAAAAAAATTCTAGACACCAAAAACAGGGACACAAACTTTTATTGAGAGCAAGTCAGACACAACAGTTCTTTATTTAAATTGTAGACAGATAATAGAGTCTGACATATTCCACGTTTTCCAGTGTAGCATTATATAAAAGGTAAATTTTATATTGACAAATAGAGCTTTTATTAATTCCTATTCACCCCAAAACTAAGAAAAATTAAGTCATGTAAGAAATAGCAACATTCTCACAGAAATCAATTTTCCCTCCTAACAGGTACCAGAGTCCTTCTTCCATCTACCCCTGAACCTTGAATCACAAAAGCAGTAAATCTTCCAGTATAGTTACCAATTTGTGTTCTACCTTGTCTTGTAAGAGTGTCTAATATGTTAAATATCCCTCCTGAAATCAGAACCATACCCTTGCCTTTCCTAGGTTATAAAGAATTAAATAGTCACCTAACCCCATCAATGTTACTTATGATCACTTAACTCTGTGGCCTTAGTGTAAGATGGCAGCACAGGGCAATGGGCATTAATGTCAAAGAGTAGTTTCCGTGCTCTTTTGTAGCTACACTGCCTCACCCATAAGCACTGAGCATTTGCTCATTGAACATACCCTGATAAAGTCTTTGTTGACAAAATCTTTCATGTTTGGTTAATTATATGGTAAGAGCACAAAGCTAAAAAGGCCAGGGTTACTATGTGTTGGATCCCCATAAGATCCAGTTGCTTGGCCATGTCACACCATAGACCACCCAGCTCACTCAAATTCTGCAGGAATTCAACACTTCTGCTGGGACAATTAGAAATAGAGGTTCTGTTGATGGTAGGTTAACGATATGCTCCTCTTCCATGATGGATAATAAAATACCGTGCTTTGAAGCTAAGTAGAAAATTGTAGGGGTCATCAGTAATCCAGAAAAGAAAATAGGTTGTCCAGGTGGAACAGAGTATCTAAATAAATAGGAAATTGTCTGAGTGCACCAATCTTTTACCTAAATTTACCAATAAACACCTGATTTCCCTGGCTTCCTTCTGAAAACTTGGATTATCAAGAAGGAAATCTATAGGTTCTACAGATGAAGAGCAACAGACTTTTACATGATCAGGTTGCAAAATATCTGTTTGAAAGGATAAAAGAACCTCTTCAATCTTGAATTCAAAATTGAGTCTTGTAAACAGTAAATAATAGTATATGATACCATGGAAATATATTATATGACCAGGGAGAATTAAAGAAATTTCCATTAGAATGTGTGGGATTTGTTACACATAAATAAGCAATAATCTAAGAAGGCCTAATCTGGGTATTTTCACAAAGTGAAAAAGAAATAAACAAAGGGTTGAATAGTACAATGAAGACTGTATTACATTCAGACAATAAGGAATTGTCTTTTTATTTGCAGGGCCAAAAATATCTTTATCTGTGGTGACAGAAAGTTCAGGGTGATATATACGGGAGCCTGAAATGAAAAATTATGAAACTATCTAAGAATATAAATATAGATTCTCCCTTTTCATAAATATTTAATACATTATTTGACACACTGGCTTGAGTGAAGCTCCATAGGCACAATTTTAAGCATCTTGATTTGGGCTGAGGTCCAGTAAATTATATATTCCCAACAACTATCAGAGCTTTCTCACTAAAAATACATACTCACATTCTACTTTGAAAATATCCTAAGATAATTATTTCCATTATCATAGTAACTAGTACAGTTATGACTAGAGTTGTCTTGGGTTTCTAAGGAAAGAAAATTATTCTGAGATACTGTTAATAAGAGAAAGTGTGGTAATAGAGAGGGGTATTTTCTTAAAATTGTGCTAAAGCTGTCATTTTCACTTGTAATGACTTTAACTGTGCTAGACGAGATTTTATTTTCAGTTACAGAAATAAAGTATCTGACTCTTTAGTCTATTGCCCACCAATTTTTCTAGCCCCTCCCTATATCAACCTCACAGTGGATTTTATTCATCTTGAGTGCATAAAGCCAACATTTAGTCAGAATTTTCCTGACTGACAATTGCTCGGCCCCTCTAGTGAGAAAATTCAGTGAATGGTAACACCTAGGAAGAAGGCCTGTACAGACTTTTCACTCTAAAGGCTAAGGAAAACCACTTAAAATCTTATTTGAAGATAATAGAAAAAGCAAAACATTTTGGACAGCTTATTGCCAGTGTCTATAAAAACATGTTTAAAAGAAAGAGAAGTTTAATACCAGACTTTCTAGCACCCTCAGTGTGCAGGAAGAAAGACACCAAAAGAGATACAGGTCATTTCTCATAGTCCTCTTTCATCTGATGACTGTATTTCTCAGTGTTGCTACTTTTAAAGCCAAATCATGCCAGATTCTCCAGGGGTGCTTGCTGTTTGCTGTTTAGTGCTTATCACACAAGGCTGTATTAGTGAAATTTTAAAAAGCAAATGCCCACGAATGAATCTAAAGCTTTTTGACTTGAGGTTACCAGACTGAATTTTGTCTAGGATTATTTCCATATTATTCTACAGTGAAACAGAGATTAAGGTTTCACATCTTTAAAGGGGATGACTCAAATAAGACATGCAAAGATGCATCTCAGGAAAATAGAATTAGCTTTTGCTTTAGTGGGCAGGAGAATTTCCTCGTTCCATTTAGTTTATAAGTGCATCATAGACTCGAATTCATCAATTCTCTGCTTGGTGTTCCCCTTCCTGATTTTCCGATAGGATATTGTATTGTATCTTGAATAAGCATTTCTAGAGATATCACTCTTCTTCCCAAAGGTTGGCTGCTCCTCAGGTGTCACAGGTTGGGAACTGGGGCTGCTCAGTGGCGAGTCCTCGTTTGCATCAACTTCCTCTTTTAATTGAGAACCCTCTTCATTTTTTTTCTTAAATTCTATTACTCGAACTTCATCTTCATCATCATTGCAATCATCGTCATCATTATTAATTTCTTCATCCCAAACCTCTTGCTCCTCCTCATGTTTAGAATGCAACACATCAACTTGGCTAGGTTTCCGAAATCCCAACCATTCCATTTCAGTTGCCTGGTGAGCTTTGCTCTTCCCATCCTCCTCTTCCTTCTCTTCTAGAGGTTGTTCAGTAATCCTTTCCTTTTGTCTACTTATTTCCTGGCTACTGATGCTCCGAGGAATCTTCTCCCATTGATGTCCTGTAGCAAAATCAATTGGTAATTGAAATACCCAGCTCTTATTCTTTAAATTATGTTTCTGGACAATCATTTCCCCACACGTGCTTTATAGGATATCATTCTGTGGGTTAATAATATGTTTTACACAATAAAATGGGTTGTACTGTCAGATTAGTTTGGAAAATACTGCATTAAACACAGTTAAGTAAGCTTCAGAATTTATGCAAGTATTTAAAATACCAATGAATATTGTGAATCTCTAAGAAGTCGACAACTCAACTTCATTTGACCATGAAACATTTTTTTTTGTTGTGACTTTTGTATCTAGTGAGACTGGTGTTCCTGAGACAGACTTTTAAAATCCTGTCTAGCCCGAAGTGACTGGAAATGTGAACATAGAAAATAAAATATTTGGACCTATCTCTTACACACACACGCATACACACACACATATTCCGCAAGGAAAATTAGAAAAATATCTCACAGGAAAAAAAAGGCTTTCTTCCAGTAGTAAAAACAATGACTTCCCACATCTGGGCATGCTCAGAGTAGCACATTCAGTATTTGCCACCATGCTTCTCAGAGTTGTGCTAAAGTTCCTGTTGTGGAAGGAGGAGCAGGGGGCCATGGATGGTCAGGAGTCATATGCTGGGCTAACAGTGACACCAAGCCCACCAAAGCACACACAATGTCATCTAAGATCTGCCATTGATTTCTAGAGAGCCAAGCTTTAAAACCATGTTGTGGTCATCTCTATACAGTGCTAGATTAGCCTGTCATGTTAGACATATCCCTAATAACAACTAATTAACTCAAGTTGTTTGGTACCATATAGTGACTTTTACAAGGCTTAATTCATGTCAAATTTCACTTTTCAAACAGATCACATCAGCATATCCTTAACAATATTTATTGAACATGCTCAAAAGAATTAGAGTGGAGGCTGTTCTCTGGGCTTTCACCTCTAAAGGGACTTCTGTGAGAAGCTTCAGTCTATGCGTGACTTGAAAATACTGTCTAGATTGTGTGCTTTGTCAGGCTTCCTTCCGTTCACTATTCCCTTTCAACACCACAAGAGTCTTTAAATAAAGTGAGAGGCAATGTTCCTCTTTGCCTTTCCCCGCCACAGCTTTCTACTTTCACTGAAAAATTTTTACAAGTCCATTACCAGTCAAGATTTTTCATGCTCTTTTCATTTTTTTGTTTTCCCAACTACAGGAATCAGATGTAAACTTACAAAAAGAGATAGAAGTGAAGATGGATTATCATTCCTAACTGGTTGTACACAGTTCCTATCAGGTTGTTGGTGCCCAGTCAATGTTCTTTACATTATAAATAAATATACATTAGCATGTTTGCTATAATCCTAAACTTTCTTTTATTGTCTTCTTTTCCATAAGAACCAAAGAAGCTGATTTTTTGCTCACACCATGACTCAGGCATGGAGCTGTCATGCATGAAATTACTTCTTGAATTTAAATTATAGTTTTTCCTCAATATTTTTAGCATCTTGCTATTTTTCAACCCAGGAGTATTCTCTTTGGAGACTTTATAGCTGTTTGTCATTGTGAAAACTGAAGATACCAACATGTGCCTTACAGGGAAAACATATGTTCCACCAAACACAAAAGGATTCATTCAGGGAAAAATTCACCCTGACACCATCTACTTAAAAAATTCAGCCTGCTTTGATTCTCTATTTGATAAAATGAAAGATCCTAGCAAACTGTTGTCTCCAGTGGACTCTCTGATCAGATATTTGAAAGGGTCTTGGGGCACGTGGGTGGTGCAGTTCGTTAAGTGTCAGTCTCCTGGTTTCAGCTCAGATCGTGATCTCGGGGTCATGAGATCAAGCCCCATGTCAGGCTCCATGCTCAGCTCAGAGTCTGCTTGAGACTCTCTCTCCCTCTCCCTCTGCCCCTCTCCATTGCCTGGGTGCTCTCTCTCTCTCTCCCAAATAAATATGTAAATTTAAAAAATTTTTTGGAAAGTTCTCTAGATGCACTGCCTGTGAGAACTTGCTACATTGGAAACAGAAAGATTAGGGGAGAGAAGTTATTTAGTTCATTTCACGGGGCTTAAAGCTTAAGTTTTATAAATTACCTGTGATAATGTAAAAGCTTAATAATGGTTGTTCTTTACTACATTATTACAATAGTGGTTGTTCCACCACTACATAGGGACAGCAGATAGTCTGGGAGGTGTCCAAGCAAAGTGGACAAACCCAAGAAACTGCCAATTATACATCCTTTTCTTCCTTGGCATCTACTGTTTTATGTGATGTTCTAATATTAAAAAAATAATAATCTCTTCCATTTTTGCCTATTAAGGTCCTAACTAAGCTAAATTGCTCAAGGTCTAATGAATCGACTTCAATTTTGAGATAAGATGTTTATGGTTGCAAAAGAGGAAATGAGTGATCAATTAATATGTGTTTATCCTGCACTTGATTTAGAAATTGCTTCAACGTAGGTATCTTCTTAGAGGTAAAATCTAAAAGATTTTGTTCTTCTTAGTCTCTTGAGTTTATTTGAAATATAAGTCACTTAAAAATCAGTGTTCTTTTTATTCTCTCATTTTCTGAAAGAACACAATTAAAATGAGCTTAATCACCTGGGAGATTTCTTTAACAAGAATTAGATAACCATTTTCTGCTTACACAGAGGCCTAGAATTTTTCTATAGATCAAATAAATTTATAATATTACTTTAAAATGTATGTCAATGTGGTAAGCTTTTAGGTAACACATTCACATTTCACAAGGTGCCTGACACAGATTTAGAGACACTAAATAAATCTTACAAAAGAATTGATTTAGTGGACTAACTTATTAAGAGACTAATATCATTTTGTCAGGTGAAGACATGTCAATCAGTTATACCAATCCATGCAGTCTCAGTCTTGATGCTTCTGGAATACTTTTTAAGGTGAAACCCACAGATAATCAGGACTACTCCCTTATCTGCCTATAGCAGCTTTGAGTTTTTGAAGGCATTGCCTGGATTGCTTTTTCGACATCACATTCACAAAACATCCCATGCAAAAACTGCCATCCATATTCAGTCAGACAATGTCTGTGTACAAAATGGAAGTTCCTCTCACCTTCTCTGAATGTCATTTCATCAACACTTGTTTCTTGGAGAGAAAGATCTGTGATAGCCTTATGAACAAGAAAAAGATTCTCTTCGGGTTTTTCTGGGGGAAAAAAACCCACAAGATTAACACTATAATATTTGAGCAGCTCAAGTGTAAATAAATTATCAATTTAGACTCTAGCTAGGTAGATCAATTTGATTTGCAATGTGATCACTAAAAGTAGCTATTTCACTCTCCCAACTCATTTCTTATTGGTTCCTACTTCTAAACATAAGGATAACCTCTCCTTTTCCGTCTGTATGTTATAGAACCATGAATTCAGACATGTTCAGGTATATTTCAGAAGGAAAACTTGAAGTGCTGAATTTCCTTTGCTTAAATAATAATGGGGCTGTCCATAATAATAATAAATAACAGTAGTTAACATTTAACCAACACTTCGTAATCCTCACCACAACCCTACAAATGGCAGTACTTATATTTCTGTCTTCTGCTAACCGAGAAAGCTAAGGCTTCAGGGGGCTAGGGAAGTTGCCCAGGGTCATAAAGCTATCAAATAAATAAGCCTGGATTTGACCTGAGGCAGAGGTTTGGTCCTTAGCTATCCAGCCCCAGTAGAATGAGAGGCCACATTTAGGCAGGGACATGGGTGGGAGAATGGACAGCACATTCCCATCATAACAGTTTATCAAAAGGATCACGAGTGAGTTTACAAATTAAATCAAACAAATCAAAGAGAAAGGAAAATGCTTTACCTTTTAGAATCTTCTCATCAGTGGACCAGTTGACTACCATATTCCCTTGTAATTTTTCACTTTTCTCCTGATTTCCTTCTGTGGGTAAGTCTTCAAGATGGGGTTCTACCCTGTAGTATGGTGAGGTACCATCCACATCACTGGATCCCTCATTTGTTTTAGTGATTGGTTGTTGACCATTTTCAGGTGGTGTATCCCCATTGCACTCAGCCTGACTGAGTGTCCCTGGAACGTCTGTCATGATGTACAGTTGAGTCCAAGAACCCAAAGAAAGCTTTGGAGAAACTGAAGGAAAAGATCTTTGCTAGATGTGTTCTCTCCCCTTCAAGTTCTATAGTTCCACCTCCTACTCTGAGAATACAAAGTATTTGCTTCAGTACATAATAACAAACTGCTTTTCCTAAAGGTGTCCAGATAGAGCTTAGAACAAAAGCAATAGGATTTGTCAGATTTGCCACCAGCCCAGGAGCAAGCATCCAGCCAATCACCACCTTCTTTGTCGCTGGGCAGCCTCACTTGCTGAACTAATGGCAGCCTTTTGATTTACATAAACAAACAATCTGAGGCAATCAGGCTTTTGTGTTGGCATGTAGAGGAGGACTTTCAGCTTGTCAGTGCCCCCCTGGGAACAGAGATTTTTGTCCCTTTTCATAATGGCCCTTTGTCGTTTTCCTTGTAACAGGAGCCACAATTGTTCCACAGCTTTAATCCAGAGAGAATGACCACCTTGAGGCATATTAGTTCTGTGTAACCAGCTTAGCATTTCCAAACAGATTTTGTTCAAGTAAAACCTCAGCTATTTTGTAGGGGATAATGGCATCGTTTCTTATTCATTAAAGAATAAAAACAGCTTATCAAAAACCTGTAAATAGGACAACTTTATTGTAAGTGGTTCTGACAGCAGATTCCATGGTGTGTTTCAGGAACCCAGAGGAAAGACCTAAGAAAAAATAAACAAAAAATTCTACCATCTTGCTAATACCAAAAATTTTACATTTTAGAATAATTCATTTGGTCTGTAGCTTCTTATCCTCTAGTTTATTTATGTTTACTGAAGCTCATACTATCTTTTAAACCCTTAATATAATTTCCTCCATGGAGTTTTCCCTTTTCCCAATCAGATTTTTTCTCAGTATTCCCTACTGATGTTGCATGATGCTGGTAAAATCACATAGCAACAACATAGCCTGCCCTTGGTGGAAACATAATTATGGAAAACATCTGCTACTTACCAACTTTAACTTTTTATTTTTTTATTTTCATTTTCTTCATTGAAGAATTTATTTTATTGGGTGCCTGGGTGGCTCAGTCGTTAAGCATCTGCCTTCGGCTCAGGTCATGATCCCAAGGTCCTGAGATCGAGCCCCGCATCAGGGTCCCTGTTCCACAGGAAGCCTGCTTCTCCCTCTCCCACTCCCCCTACTTGTTTTCCCTCTCCTGCTGTGTCTCTCTCTGTCAAATAAATAAAATCCTAAAAAAAAAAAAAGAATTTATTTTATGACACAATGAAAACTCATTAAGTTTCAATGGAAATACATTAAAAATTCACATTATTTTCCTTGTGATATTGAAAATATGAATTCAAATACACATTCACAAAAGATGTACGAAAAAATTTTCATGGCAGTGAATAATGCACTAATTGGTTTTCTGTGAGAAACAACATGAAACCAGCTTGTTTTAAGTTTAGCTTCTTTTCCATATGAAAATTTGACTCATGGAACTCCAATAATTTAAAAACTGGAAAAAATTCCTTCAAGACTGAAAGGAGACAGGTAGAGAAATAACATCAAATACAACTGAAAAATAAAAGTGTCAGTTTGAGAATAGATTATAATAAAAAGGTATGATTCTTTGTAAAGTAGATCAGCATTTTCCAGTGATTGGTTATCTATATTAAATCTAGATAAATGTAGATTAAAACCATACAAGATGCCCTGACAAACGGGAGCAGAAAAGGGGTAGTTTAATGTAGCCAAATGCTTTTAAAAATAAGAATTGCTGTATTAATTTCTTAGAATACCACAGTGATCACTGAGTTAAGAAAGCAGTTTTTTTATTTAAATTCAAGTTACTTAACATATAGTGTAGTATTGGTTTCAGAAGTAGAATTTAGTGATTCATCACTTACCTATAACACCCAGTGCTCATCACAAGTGCCCTCCTTAATATCATCACCCATTTAGCCCATCCCCCTTCCTTCCAACAACCCTCAGTTTGTTCTATATAGTTAAGCCTCTTATGGTTTGCCTCCCTGCTTCTATCTTATTTTATTTTTCCTTCCCTTCCACTATGTTCATCTTTTGTTTCTTAAATTCCACATATGAGTGAAATCATATAGTTTTGCCTTTCTCTGACTAACTTATTTTGCTTAGCATAATACACTCTAGTTCCATCCATGTTGTTGAAAATGGCAAGATTTCATTCTTTTTGGTCACTGAGTAATATTCCATTATTATATATTGGATTATATATTCCATAATATTCCATTTTATATATATATATATACATATATATATATACACACCACATCTTCCTTATCCATTCATCAGTCTATGGACATTTGGGTTTTCTCCATAATTTGGCTATTGTTGATAATGCTGCTATAAACATCAGGGTGGTGCATGTGCCCCTTCGAATCAGCATTTTTGCATCCTTTGGATAAATACCTAGTAGTGCAATTGCTGCATCAAAGGGTAGTTCTATTTATAATCTTTTAAGGAACCTCCATACTATTCTCCAGAGTGGTTGCACCAGTTTACACTCCCACCAACAGCGCAAATGTTCCCCTTTCTCTGCATCCTCACCAGGGTCTGTCATTTCCTGAGCTGTTAATTCTAGCCATTTTGACAGTTGTGAAGTGGTATCTCATTGTGGTTTTGATTCGTATTTCCTTGATGTTGAGTGATGCTGAGTATTTTCTCACATGTTTATTAGTCATTTGAATGTCTTCTTTGGAGAAATGTCTGTTCATGTCTTCTTCCCATTTCTTAACTGGATTATTTTTTGGGAGTTGAGTTTGGTAAGTTCTTTATAGATTTTGGATACTAGCCCTTTATCAGATATGTCATTTGCAAATACCTTCTCCCATTCTGTCTGTTGCCTTTTACTTTTGTTTATTGTTTTCTTAGCTGTCCAGAAGATTTTTATCTTGATGAAGTCCCAATAGTTCATTTTTGCTTTTGTTTTCCTTGTCTCCAGAGACATGTCTAGTAAGAAGTCATTGTAGCTGAGGTCAAAGAGGTTGCTGCTTGTTTTCTCCTCTAGGATTTTGATGGTTTCTGGTCTTACATTTAGGTCTTTCATCCATTTTGAATTTATTTTTGTATTTGTATTTGTACTTTGAATTTATTTTTGTGTGTGTTGGAGGAAAGCAGTCCAATTCCATTCATTTGCATGTTGTTGTCCAGTTTTCCCACCACCATTTGTTGAGACTGTCTTTTTCCAAAAGTCTTTCCTGCTTTGTCAAAGATTAGTTGACCATAGAGTTGAGGGTCCATTTCTGGGTTCTCTATTCTGTTTCACTGATCTATGTGTCTGTTTTTGTGCCAGTACCATAATCTCTTGATGATTACAACTTTGTAATGCAGCTTGAAGTCTGGGAATATGATGCCTCTAGCTTTGCTTCTGTTTTTCAACATTATGTTGGCTATTCAGGGTCTTTTCTGGTTCCATACAAATTTTAGGATTGTTTGTTCTAGTTTTGTGAAAAATGCTGGTGTTTCTTTGATCTGAATTGCATTGAATGTGTAGATTGCTTCGAGTAGCATAGACATTTTAACAATATTTTTTCTTCCAATCCATGAGCATAGAATGCTTTTCCATTTCTTTGTGTTGTCTTCAATTTCTTTCATAAATGTTCTATAGTTATCAACATACAGATCTTTTACCCCTTTGGTTAGGTTTATTTCTAGGCATCTTATGGTTTCTTGGTGCAATTGTAAATGGGATCAATTCCTTGATTTCTCTTTCTGCTGTTTCATTATTGGTGTATAGAAATGCAAGAGATTTCTGTACATTAATTTTATATCCTGTGACTTTGCTGAATTCATGTATCAGTTCTAGCAATTTTGGGGGGCAGTCTTTCAGATATTCTATATATAGTATCATGCTGTCTGCAAATGGTGAAAGTCTGACCTCCTCCTTGCAGATTTGAATGCCTTTTATTTCTTCTTCTTGTCTGATTGCTGAGACTAGGACTTCCAGTACTGTGTTGAAGAACAGTGGTGAGAGTAAACATCCCTGTCCCCTTTCTTAGAGGAAAAGCTCTCAGTTTTTCCCCATTGAGGAGTATATTAGCTGTGGGTCTTTCATATATGACCTTTATGATGTTGAGGTATGTTTCCTTTACCTCTACATTCTTGAAGGTATTTATCAAGAAAGCATGCTGTATTTTGCCAAATGCTTTTTTTGCACCTATTGAGAGGACCATATGGTTCTTATCCTTTCTTTTATTAATGTGGTGTGTCGTGTTGATTGGTTTGTTGATATTGAACCACCCCTAAAGCCCAGGAATAAGTCCCACTTGATCATGGTAAATAATCCTTTTAATGTACTGTTGGATTTGATTAGCTAGTATCTTGTTGAGAATTTTTTGCATCCAGGTTCACCAGGGATATTTGTCTGTAATCCTCCTTTTTAGTGGGATCTTTGTCTGGTTTGGGCATCATGGTAATGCTGGCCTCATAGAATGAGTCTGGAAGTTTTCCTTCCATTTCTATTTCCTGGAACAGTTTCAGAAGAATAGGTATTAATTCTTCTTTAGATGTTTGGTAGAATTTCCCCTGGGAGGCCATCCTGCCCTTGGACTCTTTGGTGGGAGATTTTTGAATACTGATTCAATTTCTTTGCTGGTGACAACACTGTTCAAATTTTCTATTTCTTCCTGTTTAGGTTTTGGTAGTTTATATGTTTTTTGGGAATTTATCCATTTCTTCCAGATTGCCCAGTTTGTTGGCACATAATTGCTCATAACAGTCTCTTATAATTGTATTTCTCCAGTGTTGGTTGTGATCTCTCCTCGTTCATTCAAGACTTTATTTATTTGGGTCTTTTCACTTTTTTTTTTGATAAGTATGGCTAAGTGTTTATCAATTTTGTTAATTCTTTCCAAGAAATCTCCAAGTTTCACTGATCTGTTCTACTGTTTTTTTAAATTTCTGTATCATTTATTTCTACTCTAATCTTAATTATCTCCCTTCTTCTGTTGATTTTAGGCTTTATTTACTGGTCTTTTTCCAGCTTCTTTAGGAGTAAGTTTAGGTTGTGTATTTGAGACTTTTTTTGCTTCTTGAGGTAGGCCTGTGTTGCTATATACTTCCCTATTAAGATTGCCTTTGCTGCATCCCAAAGATTATGGACCATTGTGTTTTCATTTTCATTTGCTTCTATGTATTTTTAATTTCTTCTTTAATTTCCTGGTTAACCCATTCATTTTTTAGTAAGATGTTCTTTAGCCTCCATATATTTGTAGTCTTTCCACATTTTTTCTTATGCTTGACTTCAAGTTTCATAGCACTGTGGCCTGAGAATATGCATGGTATGATCTCCATCTTTTTGTACTGGTTAAGGCCTGATTGGTGGCCCAGTATGTGATCTATTCTGGAGAATGTTCCATGTGCATTCAAAAAGAATGTGTATTCTGCTGCTTTAGGATGAAATGCTCTGAATGTATCTGTTAAGTCCATCTGGTCCAGTTTGTCATTCAAAGCCATTGTTTCCTTGTTGATCTGCTGCTTAGATGATCTGTCCTTTGCTGTGCATGTGATGTTAAAGTTCCCTACTATTATTGTATTATTATCAATCAGTTTCTTTAAGTCTGTTATTAATTGATTTATATGTTTGGGTGCTCCCAAGATGGGGGCATAAATATTTACAGTTGTTACATCTTCTTGTTGGATAGACCCTTTTATTATGACATACTGCCATTCTTCATTTCTTATTACAGTCTTTGGTTTAAAATCTAGTTTGTCTGGTATAAGACTGACTACTCCAACTTTCTTTGATATCCATTAGCATGATAGATGGTTCTCCACACCCTCACTTTCATTCTGGAGGTATCTTTGGGTCTAAAATGAGTCTCTTGTAAGCAGCATATCAATGGGTTTTGCTGTGTGTGTGTGCGCGTGCGCGCGTGTGTGTGTGTGTGTATGTACACATTCTTTTTTTTATTATGTTATGTTAATCACCATACATCATTAGTTTTTGATGTAGTGTTCCATGACTCATTGTTTGCATATAACACCCAGTGCTCCATGCAGAACGTG